TTAGCGCTTTTTAACCCTCTGCATTTCGCTCTGCAATGACCCTTTTGCCCCTCCCCTTTTCTCTTCCCATTTCTATTCTCTACCCTCCATCCCACCACCTGCATCTTCCTCTATTGTAAATTCCATCGGTAGTCCTTGCAGACTCTATCCAGCTCACAAACGCTCTCTGTTCATTTGACGTACACAGCCACAGGGTGAAACAAAATATTTGAAATACTAACAATGGCCCCACAACCCCTCGAGCCAACACAGAATTATCTTTGATAATCATTGTATTTTTTGTTTTGTTAGTTTTGCAATATGATTGGTTCGGGAAATGGAAGGAGTGGCAGAAGATTTTTACTAGTTTGAGGGAAAATTAAGGTTAACAGTTTTAAATTAATTTGATTTACTATTTCCTTTTATATTTTCTTCCTATCAAAATCTTATAACTTCATCTATCCACCTTATTTTAAAATCAACTCATTAAAATCTTTTATCCTCTTCCCTCTGTTCCCCTCTAAAGAAACATATTATTAATATACTGTGAGGTCTGAAATCTAGTTTTATATAAATTAGATATTCAATCATTAGGAGTGCAAGGCATCACTAATTCCGGGTTTATTTATAAATTAATTTCAATCATGAATTATAAAACATGTTAATGTTAATTGACAGTCTTGAATATTTCAGAAACTATATTTTAATTTTTAGGACTATCCTTGTTTCAATTTTCATCGGTTTCATTAATTTCTCTTCCCATCTTAATCATTTCTTTCAACATTCCATCAAATTTTTCAGAAGAGAAGTTTATATTTTATCAACAAAAATTGAAAATGTTTATGAGAAAGTAGTGTGGAATAATAGTTCAACATAATTTACTAAATATTAAGGATAGACGTGGGGGAAAAGATATTTCATATTTCATATATAAACTTTTTAGAGTGGCTTATACAAAAGATTGACAAAAGCTTCTTAAAAAAATGCTTATAAAAAAGAGTATCCTTTATGAAAACGGCGGATTTGCTGTAAACTTCTTTTTGAGTATATTATATTGATATTATTGCAAGGATTATATCATTTTTCTAATTTTGATCGAACTGTACACATGGCACAGGCCTTCCTTTAATTTGAAAGCTAGGCTAACTTTGATGCTCTTTTTTATAAAAAAAGGTTCGTGGAGGGACAATCTCTAATTCTTTTGATAAGATACTATGTAAAATATTTATTATATTGTTTTTATATTACCACCTTTATTTAATATAGGTTCTTTTTTTTTCCCAAAATCACGCTATATGAGTTTACATAGAAATAAAAAAATATTTAAGTTTTAAATAGAGTTAATAAATTTTAAATATTTTTATTTTTATATTAATAATATTATCTCAATATGCTTTAAAATAAATGAGCGGAGACTTGACAAAAAGTTCGCGAAGTTGGGTGGGAAAAAGCAGGGCTGGCATGGTAGCATGGGTCAAAGAAGAGAAGAGAAGAGAAGAGAAGAGAAGAGAAGAAGGGAAGGGCAACATGAGAAAAAATTGATGAGAAATCTAAACTCAGCGCGGGCCCACGATTACGTGGCATGTCCGCACTTCCATGCATTTTAGCGCTTCTCTCAATTTATGCTCTTCCAATCATTCTTTTGTGTTTTCAGTTCCCAAAAAAAAAAAAATCCTTTTGTGTTTGGGAAGATGCAACCCCATTACCCCGGGAGCAACTTGCACTGCGCATCGAATTTTAGTGTGACAAGATTTATTAGTTCATCCACGTAATTTTGTTAAAGGAAAATATAAGATTGATTACCACAAAAAGAAACAATTGATTCAAGTGAATAAATATTTAATTCATAATTTAAAAAATATAAGTTCACATCTCATAATTAATATGAGGACATGTTGTATGTGATTTGTAAGTATTTTTATAAATATTTTTTAAATTTAAAAATATGCTCTAGTCATGTCGAGCTCTTACAGCCTGATTTGCCTGAACTTTTTAGTCTAAAAAAGTACAGGATTAGCAACCTTTATAAAATGTTTCAGGGTATAAAGAAATTAATTTTTGATCAATTAAGCATAGGGCTGTGCAATTGTTTACGCTGGCCAGTACGAGTATGGGTGGGTTGGCCAACCGGATTTGGGCAAAACCCTTTTTCTTTTTTCTTTTTAAATATGTATATGCAAAGACATGTCACTCTTCATTCTAAACAAAGAAACAAAATCAAAATACAAATAGATAGCTATAAAATGTAAAAATCAATTCACAATATCACAGATTTTGATCTCTTCATCTCTTCAAAAGCATGGCACTCCTAGTACAGGATTAGTATAGCCCCACGTCCACTTGCATATAATTTAAACCAGAGCAAAGTTAACCCACTTTCACAATGTATAGCCCCACTTGTGAGGATTTCACAACATGCTACTGAAGACATTTCATGAATTTATACACAGAGTTAAACAAAATAAGAGCATTTCACGAATTAACCCAGACGCAGAGTCATAAAAAACCAGAGTCACTCACGAATTAATCCAGACGCAGAGTCTAACAACTAAACAAATTTCAGATCAGGCGACGAGGTACATAAACTAGGTGACATCGTGACAGTGACACAAACCAAGGATGACGTGACGAGGTTGAGGGACACGATGAAGCGGGGCGAGGGAGAGGGACAAAATACTTTCTTGGTTATAAATGTGCTTGGGTCATATAATTTAAATTTATTTCAATATTTTTCCTGCGTATGACATATTGACATGTTCCCTTGAACAGTGGAAATCTGGCGAGAAGCCAGAAAGTGTGGCGAAGACAGTAGCCTGCGACCAAAGCAATAAGAATGGGCTCAAGCTATACATTCAACATGGGCTTCATGGATTGTTACAAAACAAAAAAGTAACAGTTGTGAGAAATAATGGAAGCCCAAATAATGAGATGAAAGAGGTCTCATATATCAAGTCCCCTCAAGGCTTGAATCCATCAGTCGTCATGCTCATCAAGGAAATTAAAAACATGATCAAATTACATCTTCATGCATAAAGGCCCAAAGATATTGTTCAGGTATTGTGAATAATAAATTTTTTAAAATATATCATATGATGGTAATGTGGTTCTTAAAAATATCATATTTTTAATGAATTAATGAATAATGATTATTTCGAAATTATTTACATCATGAATTAGGTCTGGATGGGAGTTGGGTAGTTGGTGAGTCGTGAGCTTGCATTTTATCATTGTCGAATTGGTTAGTCAAATCCAAAGGTTTAAACTAGCGGTGAAGAGTCGGAAAAAAAAAAAAAGAAAAACTATTAGTGAAGAGGGATGAAAACATAAAAGGAAAAAGAAATAAAAGAAAAGAAAAGAAATTAAAGAAGTAAAATTGATTAGTTAAACAATGACTTATCTCATCATTCGGAGGCTGTAAACAATATCACACGCTTCTATAAACATTTAACGCTTTGTTTTCTAAAATACCCCTTAGAGATATTGTAATTGGAGTAATTATATTCTCTGGAGTAATTATTGCACTGCCACCGCTGCTTCATTTATTGAGGGCAAAGGGAAAAACAATTTTTTCCAGATAAAAATAATTCTTAACATGTGTGCACTATAGGAATTATTAATTAAATCATTGATTCATGTTTTGTTTTTAAAAATCTCTTGAAATCTCCATGCTATATTCTTTCTCTTGTCTTTACTAAATGACACTTTTTGAAAGGATTTTTTATTATTAATATAAAATAGATGATGTGAGTTATGCTTCTCTAATATTATCTTCATTTAAATTTATTAACTAAAAGAAAAAATAATATAAATTAAAAATTTTTTTATTTAAATAAGGATAAAAGTAAAAACTTATTTTATTTTTTAACAAAGTTAATAATTTAAACATCTCCATGATTCAAGTGGCTCAAAAGTGTCTTATAATATACACGAAAAAGGATATGCGTGTGCATCTATATCTATATCTATATATATATATATGTATATTCAAACTTCTAATAATGCGATTCATTTGTTAAATTAAGTGAAATTCCCGGTTAACGTTTGCTCTACTATATTTTTATTTATTTAAAATTTTAATTCCATCAGTTCAGTAGGCCTAGTACAATTTATATGAACATTCCATCCACTTCATATCCAATTGCCTCATGCTCTTGGCGCGGGGGGGGGGGGGGGGGGGGGGGTTAAAGTTTTAAGATGTGTTTGGTTCAAGAGAAAAAGATGTCAGAGTTTTAATGTTAACTTATTTAATTTTATTGGAGGGGAGGAGAGGGGATAAATCTTTAATATCTTTTGTTTGGTTTAGGAGGAGAGAAAATGAAAAATAATAACTAATTTACTGTTATATTTCTATATATTAGTTTAATTTTTTTTATTTTTTTTTGAAAAAAATAATTTTACATCTCAATTTAAATTGTATAACCTTTTAAAAATTAACTTTCATCCTATCATATTATCAACATTATGAAGAAAATTTAAAACAATAATTAAAATGATAACAATTTTTTATAAAAAATAAATAACTAAATATATAATAAAATATGATGAAATGTATTTTTTTTTAAAAAAATTCAATGAGACCAATCGAGGTTTGAAAGTGAACCGCAATCTAATATGAATTTTTTTAATATAAATATATTAAAAATATTAAAAATTAAATAAAGACAAAATAATTAAAATATTAGCTCCCTTTCAAAAAATCTTAATTTGAAGGGGATCAATTTGAGGGGAGGGGTTTTTTTAACCCCCTTTCTCTCCAAATTTTCTTAATCAAATGAGGAGAGAGTCTTACCTCTCCTCTTCTCCTCAAAAACCTCCCAACTAAACACACGTTTAATTTTAATTCTAGTCTTTCCCATTTTCTGATCATTTCATACCATGTTTTAATTACTTCATGCCAAACCAGCCCAAATGTACAAAGAATCCGGATCGATGGAACTCGTGGCCCCAGATTGACTGACCTCACTCTCGTCAATGTCAAATTGGCAATACATAAATATATTTTTTTACATTTCAATTATAGATTTTTATTCAAGAATCCTCGTTTAAATGTCACTTTAACTGCTGAAAGAATTTGAGAATAGGCTTCCAAATCTTTACAATTTTCCCACTCAGCACAAAAACGAAAAAAAAAAAAAAACCTGACTGACTGATTCCATGCATAAATTGCAAATCTTGTGGAACAGACACTGCTTGTCACGTTCCAAACATAAATTACAGAAACCATATGAGATAATACAGAGTTCAGCCGGGCGAACCTGGTTATCCGAAACTGGGAAATAATTAATGATACACTTGCCGCCTTCGACTTCAACATTCACAAAATCATTTATTAATAAACAACTTCAATGCATCTATTTGATGCCCACATTTTTGCTGCATTAGACAGCTTGTTCTCCTCCACATTTATTCTTCTCAACTTGGGAGATTTCTCAACAAACACCTCGACAGCCTCAGATTCTATCCCACCACAATGCATGATATCCACATTTTCTAGGAATTTGCAGCTCCTAACCACAGAAATCATAGCTGCATTTGTGAGTCCCTTGCATCCTCTCAGCTTCAGATCACTCAGATGAGTACAAGAAACTGACATTGAAATGAATTCCTTATCAAGCAACAACTCATTATGCGACAAGTCCAATTTCCTTAATTGCCTCAGCTGCTGTCCCAAAGTTGCAAGCAACCCCGATTCTCTCTCTACCACATCGCAATTTATCAGTGCCAGTTCTTCAAGCCCACAAGAGGCCATTGATGTGCCAAGAAGCTTTAGACCTTCACCTGTCACAAGACAGCAATTCTGAAGCCTTAGGCTTGAAAGGCCTCTGATATTCGCCGCCATAGCTGACAGGTGGTCGTTGTTGAGGTCCAGAGGTAGACGAAGGTCGAGCTTCTGCAAATTGGACCGGCAATGAAAGAAGAAGTGAAGCAGACCGTCTCGGCTTCCACCATCGTAAACCAGAAGGGAATTCAGAAACTGACAATTTTCAGCTAGATGCAAGAGGACCCCATCAACCACGCTTCTGCAAGTTCTCAGTTCAATTTCTTCAAGATTTCGCAGGCACTGAACAAAGGAGGAGTAGGGCCCACCGATTCCTTGGCAACTCTGGAGCCTCAATTTCTTCAGGTTCTTGCAGCTCCTCCATAACCATCCCGCTCCCCAATCGTCTCTTCGTATGCCCACCAAGCACAGACTTTGCAACCCTAACTCTGCAACGGTTTCATCACTTTCCCAAACCTCAAATTGATTGCTCGGATCAATTTCTTGTCCGCCGGAGGAGGGCCAGGTAATCGCGAGTTCTCTCAGGGATGGAAAAGACAAAACCCACCTAAGAGAGACGGGCCTGGGGAGGTTAATACAAAGAGAAGTCAAACAAGTACAAGCGGTGGAGAGAGAATTCAGAGAGGACAGGGAAACTGGCCCGGACATGAATCTCAGAGCACGAAGCCGGGAGCAGCGAGAGGAAACGACGGCGAGGACATAGTCCGAGACTGCGGAATCGGCGGAGGCGGAGTCGGAGGAAAGAAAGAGAGACAGAGAGGAGAGAGATGAGTGGTCAGATAGGAGGGAAGAGAGAGAAGCAATATCAGAGAAGCGAGGGAGAAGGCGAAGAGAGAGGGAGGTTCTGGAAGAACGAAAGAGGTAAAGCCAGCGCTTGGAGACGAGGGAGACTGAGGAAGACGAAGAAGGTGGAAGCTTCATGAAAATCTCCTGAAGGAGTTCATCGCACAGTATATTATCCATCTCCACGTTGCTTCAGATGATCGTCTAGTTCTCTCGGCTCTCCCCAACTATATAACACTCTTTCCCCTCAATCCCTCAAGCGTTCTGATTTATTTTCCATAAAAGAGACTTTTGCGGTGGAAGGCGAAGCTTGCTTAGACGCAAGAGAGGGGCGTGAACACACGCTCCCGACTTGGCGATGAAATCCAGACGCCCAGAAAATCCTGACGCGAGGTGCGGTCACGCAAAATTCAGGTGATGCTTTGTTTTAAAGAAATACTATTGCAGGTTCCATCTTCAAAGAGAATTTAATGATTAATAAATATATAAATATTTTCAGAAAATAGATATATTAAGAGGTTAAGGAATGAAATGAGATGGAACAGTTATGTGACAGGTGGCAGTTGTTATTGTGGCTTCGTAGATTGTAGCAGTGGGGAATTCGCAGCTCAAGCTTGCTCACAAACGCGTGTGGCTTACAACCTCATAAAATCGGGCATGTATTGTAATTTTCCCAAAAATAAAAACTGGGAAGATTGAACTTGAAAGGCGACGCATAATGCCACCGAAGGCTTCAAATTTTAATAATATCGTTTCTTTTTTCTGTGAAGAAATTTACTGAAGATGATAATTGAAAACTCTATAAATACATTAATAATAATTATAAATTTAAAATTATTAAAATTTTAGTAACAGATCATGATTTAAAAAATTAAAAAAATAAAAAATATATTTGAAATTATTTATAATGCTAGTTAAAATTTTTTGAAATTCATGAATTTCAAATCAATCACTTGTGCTTTTTTTTTATTATCAATATATAAATAAATTACTTAAAAATATACTAAATATACTTAAAATTATTTATAATGTTAGCTTAAAATTTACAAGAGTTGATTGTAAATCACAATCAATTATTTATAATTTTTTACTTTTGCTTAGAAAATTAATAAAAGATACTAAGGAATCTTTGTTATGTTATTTGAGAATTTACAAAAATGCATTGTAAATATGAAGTCAATCACTAAAACATAATTTATTATTAGTAAGAACTATAATTTGTTATTGGGATATTAATAATATAAGGTTTGTAATTGTCATTAATAATCTTATGGGATTATTTATTTTTTTTTGCCAATCTCTTAATTTAATCGAAAGCATACTAGAAGCTCAGTTGTGAAACATTATACTTATGTAATTTATGATTTTTAGCTAAGCTTTTAAAATCTTAAAACTCAAATAACGCAATAATTTAAATATTAGGCTTTGAATAATTCACCGTTAAAGTTTCGTTGGTTACAACTCAGTTTTCGGTATTTAAAAGTTCATACACTTTTAATTAAGTAGGGGTATTTTAGTCTATACGAATTATTTTATCAGACGACGACCTTGGCTTTTTCAATTTTATTTTCAAGAATTTAATGTCTTTTTTTAAGTGTAACCACGGGTCTTTTAAAGTGTTCCAGTGTCATTCTTGCCATGAAAGATTTTTTAAAAAAAAACTAAAACAATTTACAAGGTCTGCAAGCAAAGGTAAGGAAATCTAACTAATCAAGAAACTAATTGAAAAGTTAATAATTAAAATATAATTGAATTATGATCAAACTGATTATAAATAAAATATTTTATTAAATCTGTCAAAATATTAATTTAATGATTCATTGACAAGTTAACCCATAGTTCTATACGATGGTCACAAGAGAGCTGGTTTACTTTCACACTTCACTGATCATGTTTCATACTTCATAGCAGGTTTCCATTTATATATCCGATTTGAAGACCCTGTCTCATTGCAGAGGATTCGGTTGAGGACAGAGAAGGAAATTTTGACTTCTGCCTTCGCAAAATTTGTAATTACAAATTACCCTTCTTCTCTTTCCTTCTGTCCTTCCTCTGCCCCGAGACAAAACGAAACGAGTACGGCATATCCAAATTCATTATAGCTGTGGCTCGCCTGATTATATTTTTTCAATTTGTTGACTTCCAATGTAATTTGTAAATCAAAACCCCTAATATAACCTAACAACTATATGAGCTCAAATACAAAGTTTTAGAGGAGATGACGATGTTAGAAGTTGCGGGTCAATTGTTAACACTTTAAAAACTCAAAGATTAAAAACAAAGAATTAGTGGTGAAATGTAAGTCCAATCACAAGTAGGAACCTAATTAGGTAGCCATCGCAATCTGGTAGGGCCATTCCCTTCTTGAAGTTATACTCACATGAGAGCTTAGCTGACAAAGAAGAATGCGTTATGTCCATTAATAAAATAGAAAGCAGCAAAGGATGGGATATCTCTAACTTCCTTTTGCTGGCACAAAAAGAAAAGAAAAGAAAACTAAAAGAAAAAAGAAAATTGAAATTTGGGGTTTGGCTTAAACAAGCACATCCTCAGCCACAACTCTCACTCGCTATTTTCCCCTCTAGAAGATGATCTTTTTAAGCCTCATCATTCCCCCTCTGTTCCTTCTTAGCATGTCTTTATTTTACTGATTCTAGTCCTATTACATATACACTTCCACTGCCATTTTCCAGCACTAACAGAAAAGGATACAGAGAAAAGCAAGAGGAAAAAAATAATTATAAAAGCTGTTGATGCTGACTACTTTTGACGGGCAATCCATTGAAAGTAGCATTTTAGCTGTGAGGTTTAGTAATGCAGATATATTGATTGTTCCCGTATAGTGAACAATTCACATGTATTCTATTCAGCAGCAGCATATCTTTGTCAAGTCAGTGAAGAAGCAGAAAAATGACACCAAATTGTGGGTTAGGGAATCAGAATCTGCCTTTGCTCTTCTTCTTAGAGGCTTTGCTTGTTATTGCTACCAAATGGGGATCTCAGCTTTTCCCTAAAGGCATATAGTTACTTGGTGGATGGGGGGCAGAAATGTATCAACCATTAATTTTGGAGCATATTATTAGATTATCCCGAGAAAAGGTGAAACAGGAAAAAATGACATTGTAAAGGAAGGAAGAATTATGGCATATATCAGCAACAAGATGGAGCCCATGCATGTATTTATTTGGTTTTTGCCCCAATCAAGTGTGCAAGCAGCAGTAATCAGAAATTTTTACCAGAGACCTAACCATGTGTCCATCTATATCACAACCAGGGACCAAAGATCAGCAGTTGCCACCTACCATTTTCATCACCTCAGAGCTCAATTAAAAAAGTTTCGGAAGAGTTTATTTCACACTACTCACTTCGGAAAACATCCATCCCTCTCTTTCAAACTTAAATCATGCTTGACACTCACTTTCGTTGCAATAAGAGATTAGCTCTAGTTATGTCTATCTTGGAAATTTTTTCTTATATCTATTAAACCATTATTATAAATACTAAAGATACATTTCCCCAATTTAAAACAAATAAATAAATTATCTTTCAAAACAGAAAAAAATCACATCAAGATAAAATTTTAAATTATTTTAAATGTTACAGATTTGATTTAAAATTAAAAAAAAATTCTTAAAAAAAGGTGAGTGTATTTCTAGCTAAAAAAATTTCTTCGTTTAAAAGACGGTTGAAAAAAAAAAAAAAAAGCCTGCCAAAAGGAAGCATTACAATCAAGATAGCAATAAGAAAACAAACAAGGCCCTGCTTGTCCATTAACGAAGAATACATATCAACAATGATGAAATAAGATGTGAATGCATAGTGCCCAGCATGGTAGGTGAACGAGACCCAGATAGAGGTAAGTAGCACTATTCCATACCCAAAGGGTTTCCAACCATTCCCAGAAGTCGCCAACACTAATACCACTATATCCTTCGAATACACCCTTCAATAGAAAGTAACTGGCTGGCGGAAACCCAATGAATCCTAAAACAAGATTACAAGTTATTCTCATAAAAGATATCAAGTTCCTTGCTTTAATGTCAATCTTCAAAGGTCGAGCCATCAAACAAATTGGGACGATAAGTAAAGCCCCAATTTCTGCAGTAGCAAAGTTAATGACTGACGTGAGAGACAAACCAATGAAAGCTGCTGATATAGTTACCGACTTTAAGCTAGCCCATTCTTTTTTCTGGGATCGAGATGCAGCAGCTTCAGAAAATGAAGAACCCAATATCATGTAAGAAACTAGAAGGCCAAAAACCGATAGCAGAATCCACACTATGAAGCAAGTTTTTGTGGTTAAATTGGGCATTTGACTTATGAAATATGGGAGAACAGAAACAACACCCCCCCATAAGTGGAACACAAAAACCTTTCTGGCTGACTTCAGCCATTTCCAAGAATTGAAATTGATGTCCATTTTGGATGCAGGAGAGGCTTGAGAAGCATATTTCTCTTTTGGTTGGGTAGAATCGGAATTACTAGCTTCAACGTGAAGAGAAGCCGCAACCACGGGAAGTGGAGCAACAAGTAGCGCAAAAGATATCATGTAAACTCCAACAGACACAAACTTACTAGGGGACGTCAAAAGGTACAGAAAGAATGACTGATGAAACTTCTCAAGAAGGTTGTTTACTGAACGTACGACTCCTTCTAGCAGCCTGCAGCAAACAAGAAAACCTTTGGTTACAATGACCAATTAAGGACAGAAATATAGGATGAAGTTGGACCATATATTCAATTAAAGAAAGTGCATTCATATGATTGTGTATCAATATAAAAATAAGCTGATTTAATTTAATTCTTAAAAAGCTAGATGCTTTTCCACAAAGCATAGATTTGCTTGTTAAACCACTAGCCATTCTTCGAAACAAAATTACCTCCCACAAAAGGCAATAAAAAAAAAATTCCAATCATTACTCAATTAATTGTCATCTTAAAGATTGCAATAATTACAACTCTTGCAATCTTTAACACCACCATATAATAAATTAATACAGCAATAATTATAATTGCAAGCCAACTATTTTAATTTTCGAGACACATCTAGCAAATAGAAACAGCAACACAGATAAATGATTACATACTTTCCACCACGGATAAGGAACTCATTACGCCTGGATACTTTAGCAAGAGGAACTTTTGATGACATTTCCAATGTAATCGCATCAACTTGATAATCACGAAAGGCACCATGAGGACCAGTGGGAACACCCAAACCCTGAGAAAGAACAATATACTTATTATAAAAACATTTATAGAAGTGATCTCTCTCTCTCTCTCTCTCTCTCTCTCGGGGAAGGGGGGGAGTTTAACAGAATAAAACTTTAGATAGGTAAAACACCTGGTAATACAATGAACTTGCAAGTGTAGCAGTGCCCTCAACATACTCAGTGGCAGGGATACCAAATTTCCACTGGGGATTCAAGCTCCTAGAAATTTGTCCCAGTGATTCAAATATGACACCCAAAGTATAAAGCCACCTATTGTGCAGTAGAGACCACACCTTCTTTACCTTTATCTGCAAACCTTGCTTATGTACTGCTAGGTAGTTTACAATATTGATGAGGTCAAGGTTTGGCATCTGCCCATTGGATGCCTCAGCATAAATATTAACAGTGTCCTCAAAATAATCACTTTGCTTCGCAACTTTAATTACAAGTGCTGCAGCCATAGTTCCAGCACGTCTGAAACCATCATATAATTTTTTCTCAGAATAAGGCTTCTGTCCAAGTTCGTAAATAATATTGCTCTCACAACATGTTTCACTATTTACTACGTCAACTCTGCTAAAACTAGGGGCTTGATATTCTCTTAGCCAAGCAGCAACAGCAGAATATTCTCCATATCGGGAATCAGCAACAAGCCATATGATATCCTTTGCTAGCCAAGTAGCCCGAGTAAGAAGTGAAAATACTGAGTATGCAATGCCCAAAGAAAAAGTCTCCTCCACACCAACTTTAAATGAATTGAAAGGTGTCACCAAGACAATGGCTTCTTTGCCATCCCCACGCGGTGCTCTTATAATTCCAACTGTGTTAATTCCAAGTGATGAACAACTAATATTTTTCCCGATATTCCCAGAATCAGTACTTGTAAAAAAGTGCAGCGGATGAAACTGGTTCAACTGAGGGTAAAACTTGTGATGAGTAACTTCAGCACCCAAGTCTGACATATACTGTGCTATAAGTCTTTGACTTTCTCTGCATTGAAATACGAATTGAATCAAACTTTATTTTATTTTATTTCTTTTATTTTGAATCTCTTTTGCTGACAGGTAAGAAGGGAAAGCAAAGGATAACATTTGATTAAATGTTTCGATTTGAGAGATGATTAAATTATCTTGCACACTTGCTCAAACATCTAATATAGTAAATTTCAGCATTGTTATTCATCAGTTTTCTTAAAAGCTGTAAAGGAACACTCCTTTGTCGTTCCACATGCAAATGTTTTTTATTATATATTGCAAGTGTTTGAACCGTTGCTCACATCTCACCCTACCTTTACCACCTGAACTAGCCTCAGGTAGCCATTCCACATGCAATTTCATCACCGAAGTCCTTTTTCAATATTTTTCAAACTCATCATTGCTACTGCCTTCTTTTAGAAAGAATGAAGAGCCTGATTGGGTCATTCTGTAGTGGAAATAAAAACAGTATGCATACTCCATCAAAGAAAAAAAAAGCAGCACACTCCAACGGCATGACAACCTTTTCAGAATTTAGAATCATCTCCCTACTAGAATTTACTCTAGAGGCAGAGTTTTTTCAACAACAGTGAAATAGTGAATGACTGAAGGGAATGTATCATGTGTAAAATAGAAATCCATCCAAAAAATTGAAAAAGTGCCACATGCCGAAAGCATAATTAGCTTTTCAGTATCTATCTATATTTATCTCTCAACAAGCTTCAAATCTAGATGCATAACTTTATCAATTATTGCCAATGACTGAAAATATCGTATAAACAAAAAGGAGAGATGAAGGTCATAGATGAAGAGAAAGTGCTTACAATTCTGACCCCCTGGAAGTCAGCTGCAAATCAGTTAAGTCCTTCAGCAATTTATTTGCCACTGAGGCATCATGACCACAGAGCATATTGTTTGCAGAACCTGGATAATAATAGCGCAGCCAAATATAACGAACAATTAAAAAAGAAAAAAGCCCTTTAACATGAAAGTCTGGGATTCAGGTGGCCTGAAGAAATGGAAAGGTCCTCCCTCTTTTCTGGGTATACTAATAATCCAATTCAAAATGGTACAGATCATTGAGTTTAACAAGTAAATACTCGGCTTTCACAAACCAAGCAACAGACAAGTGAGACCATATGAACTTTCTGTTCATTTATTTTCCTTGAGTTTACTATGAGCAAGGTTCATCTAATGAATCGTGCAATGCAGTGGGGAGGCGAAGTAGAAATATAGGAAAGAGCAGTTGATCCTATGAAACAACGGTCCGCAGGATTAGAATATTTCAATTTCAAATCAGCTAGCAACCAGTGACTTTAGGTTAAGTGACAAAATGGAATGAGATATCCAGCCAAGACTACTAAAATAAGGGATCGCTAACATCACCTTGATGGTTTTCTAGCAGCCAAAAAGGGGGCAAACAATCAAAACTATCATTCGAAACAGAAATTCCACAAGAAAAAACGTACTTATGTCAAGAAACAATCCACTAGGTTGCTCCCAGAAAAAAGAAAAAAAAAAACTTGGGAACCATTAAAGTCACCAAGTAAATAGAGAAGTCGCCGAAGCGAACTGAGGTGATTTGCAGGGAAAAAAAAGATCAGCTCTTCATATGAATTTAAAAAATAAAATAAAACAAATAGATGAATTTGACCTGGCATGAGCGCATTCTCGGAAATGTAGGTGTTCTTGGCGAGAACCGGCAGCAGTAGAAGGGCCAAAACCCCGGCCGTGAAGCAAACAATACTGGAAGCGAAGACCCACCATTCCAACGATAGAATGCAGCGAATTGGCTTTATCAAAGTGAATATAAAAAGCATAAGAAATAAAAAGGGTTGAAGTGGAAGAATGAATACCTGACAAAGAGACTGTGAGAGATCAGAAAAATCCCCAAGCGCACAATTGGACGCTGTTTCAGCTTCAGCGCAGCGATCTCAGCCATAGCTTCCGGATTCGACAAGCCGAAGAACTTTGCGCAATTCAGTGTGGATGTCAGCTAAATCTCGCAGTCCATGGCTGAAAGGAAGAAGATGAAGGTTGCCTTCTGCTCTTTCGTCCGTCTGTTCCTTTTTTTAATTATTATTATTATTTTTTCCCCCCTTACTTCCTTCTTGCTTACTTGTTTGTAAGCTGGCAAAAACTCTAACCTAGAAAGTTAACTTTTTTAAGCTTGAGTTTTTTTTAAAACCTTAATATTTAAAATCTAATTCTTAGTATAACGGGCTTAGCCGGCCCTACGAACTTTAGGTCCTTTTAACTATTTTTATTTTTTTAAATTTTTTAATCAAACAAAAAATTATTTCATTTTAATATAATATTCGATCAAGAAAGGTACAAAAAAAACTAATTAAATAGCATCTAAATGAACTAAAAATATAAATAAAATAATATCAATGCAATAAGCAATTGATCGGTAAGCCGATAAACACCCAATCAAAATTAGAAGAGTAAATGTTGAATTGAATGAATCATTATCATGGATCTAGATAAATTAAAGATTTAAGGTTGTGTTTTTTTTAGAAAATAGCAACAAAGAATTTCTGTATGAAATTTATATCAATTAAGAATCAATTGTTGTCAAAACCTGAATGAAAAATAAGCTATAATGAACTATTATTAATTTAAAATGAGTTGTTATTAAAACCTAAATGAATATTTATTGATAAAGGCTAACCTGAATCTACAAGTATCCACTCAGATTTTGATAAGAAGCGATCATTGACTGATATAATTTTTTATCAGTGATTCTTCATTGCTATTTTTCTTTTTTTTTTGCCTTCCATCCTCAGTAAATATGAGTTTATATGTGATGTGGAGTAAGATTTAGTTTAATTGTTTTTTCAAATCTAAAAAGAGTGAAAATTATGAGAATTAATTAAAAAAATATGCATATACGGGCTCAAAAGGGTTGGCCCTCGCCCAGCAGAGCCGACTTGTTTAAGCCCTAGATTAAATGGGCTAGCTCGTTTAAGCTTAATTTATTATTTTGGAGTCCTATTTACAAGCTTAGTCCTAATGTTATAAAGCTTAAACGGGCTAGCCCGATAGTCTTGACCCGTTTTTCCAGCTCTACTTATTTATTTGATATAATATTTATTATTTTTTTTTTTTGATTTTTTTGGTATAAACCATCTGATATCTTAAGTATCTTAAATTTATTGCCTGTTCCAGATTAATCCAAACAGATCTTACAGTAATAATAAGGTATCGATGGAATGATTTTTTTGAGATCGTGTTAATCGTCACATCTGTCACTAATTCAAACTCTCACTCTGAAAAATATCAATATAGCCTTTGTTAACTCTAACGGGCGCCTATTGATATTTTTTGATTTTGGAAGAGGAACCAAGTCCAAAGCCAGACTGCATGTATTAAATCGCAACGGATGAAAATCTGGGCTAGGGTTGGGCAATAACAAAACTGGATCTCTTAAGCCCAAAGAGCAAGAAGCCCACGAATTAGTGATGGGCCAGACTGGAATCACAATTGAAACGACGTCGTTTACTGAAGTCCCGCTCAGAGTTAGTTTCCCGGTTTATGCTGAACGGCGAAAGGTGGCTTCCGAACCCACACCGGAAAATGTCCGTGAAGCCTTGCTCCCATTTCCCGCGAAGCAAAAGCTTTTCTTTCATTTACGGATCGAATAGTGTCACTTGCAAAACCAAAACCCCATTTTTATTTTCCTTTAAAAGCTTGCAAAGTGCTAATTCGAAGTGCTATAAGAGGTTTGAATGCAGGAATTTGAAAACTTCTTGCCAATTCTTTGTTTCAGAGAATGATAAGTACGACTATGTTGATTCTGGGTTACGGAAGGCGTTTTCCTTTGCCCGGTCGATTTCACCTGGTGGTAGCTGGTGGAACTTATCTGAACATAAGCAAGACAATGTTGAAGCGGCAAAGCCATTAACGGCGCTGCTTGCTCTTCGCCGGATGTGGGTTTTAATTTCCGGCGAGAGATGGATTTTATTTGTGGCTTTTGGTTCACTTGTTATTGCTGCCGTAAGTCTGCTTTAACCCAATTTCCTTTGAATCCTGTTTTGGTAAGTGTAACTTCGGAAATACGTGGGTTTTCTTGTCCAATGATGAAGTTCGATTACCTAATTACACTGGTCGTTGAAATTTGGATAAAATTCAACATTATGAATGAAATGTTATATAGGTACATATTGCAGAATTATTCAAGACAATGTTTTTTACACTCACATAACTTCTAAGAGTTGCTTTTAAGAACTGTTTTGACTAACGAATAATAATATATGTACTAAAACTTTAATTGTAGAAGTAAAACGATGTCTTGCTTTTAATGGAAATATAAACTTATCGCGTTCACTGAATTCCAGCTTCATCATTTTTCCCTTTTCGCCCTATTTATTAATTCTCATTGCAGGTTTCAGAGATCTCCATGCCAAGTATACTGGCTGCGTCAATATTTTCAGCACAGAGCGGTGAGACCGTGGGTTTCTACCGGAAGGCACAGTCTTTACTTGTTCTGTGTTTCGCTTCAGGCATATGCAGGTAATTCTCATAAAGCTTAAATTGTGCGTCTGAACCTTTAAATATGAGTAGCCTGCTCACTCCTTTGATCTGTTAATTTTCACAAGATATCTCTGACCAGCTTGCACACAGACCTACGTGAACGACTAATATAATGTTTTGAGGATATAGACTATCTCAGACCGAGAGAGAGAGAGTACTTAAATGCATAAGTGATAAAGTGATAGTCTGATACCAGGCAACTTTACGGCTTAAAACGGTATTAAAATGTGATGACAAAAGTAAAGAGTTATTAAAATTTAGATCATTAGGAGTTTGCATTGAATCTATTATTCTGTTTTATTACTTTACTTTCTCTATCAGTTGTAGGGGGTAGGGACTATATAGATTGCATCAAGTATAAAAATGAGGGGGCTGATTATTAAGTTATCTCATTTGAATTTCAGTGGTCTGCGAAGTGGCTGCTTTGGAATTTTGAATGTAATCCTGGTGCGTGCTTTTTATCTGAAGCCAATTATTATAGATAATTTGTCTCAGGTTATGTTACTGAATCGTTACAATATTTAATTCTAAACAAGAGTTCCTCAGGATTCACCAGTTGACTTCATGGACTGCCATAGGCTTCTTGGTTGCCTGTCAAGCACTAACCATACGTGGGTTTTAGATGATATCTGTTAATTTCACCTGAAAGTTTGGGTATCATTGGAATGTTCCTCCAGAGTGTTTACATGTCTAATTATATGACATTTGTGTGTCAACTTTTGGTACAACTAATAACAATATTGCACACAAATATTGAATAAATTGTTGACCTAACATTTTGTGATTCCATTGATAGGACTGCTAAGTTATCCTATCAACAAACTGTTGTCAAGTATGAGCAAGCCATTTTGGTTGAAGTCTGTGTCGTGCGCTTATTTATTTCAGTTTATATGTACTCATTACTTTTCTCGAATAATGAATTCAGTTACTAATATGGTTATGATCTTCTTGGCTTCTTGGATCAGGTCATTGCTATTTGTTTGACCAAAAATTGATTTTAGGTTTCCTGGACCACCATTTGGGGTCCATATGATGAATTACTTGTTAAGTTGTTAGTATTCTGCATTACTTTAAGTAGCTTTCCTTCAAGCATTTATCTCTAGGATTCATGGATGTGTTACCATCTGAAGCTGTGATCTCCATTCTGCAGGTAAAGCGTCTGCGAGAAAATCTGTATGCAGCTCTTCTTTTTCAGGTAGTATTCTTCAGCAGTTCATGTGATATATTTAAATTCATTTGAGGATGTATTATCTGTTTCTTTCTTTCTTTGTTCTTATCTTTATATTCTCTTCTTTATGCTTTTGACTTATATTTGATGTAGGACATATCCTATTTTGATAGAGAGCAGGTTGGTGACTTAACAAGTAGGCTTTCAACAGATTGTCAACGACTATCTTATGTCATAGGAAATGATCTTCATTTGATTTTTCGCAACACTTTACAGGTTAGCATTCTTATTATCTTTATCTTAGCTTGAAAGCCAGAATTAAATTACCTTTTCTTTTCTTTGATGTTCAGGGAACAGGAGCAGTAATTAATTTGCTGACTTTATCATGGCCTTTGGCATTGTCCGCCCTGGTGATTTGCTCTGTTTTATCTGCAATTTTCCTCGTTTATGGCCGGTAAGCTTTTGTGACATGACTCATTCCTTGTGTAATTTTTTTTTTTTACTGATGAATGATGTCAATTAAGTTATCCTCATGACCGTGATGAGGTGCCCGCAAATTGCTACAATGCACATAATACTGAAAATGGTATTTATCTCAGCTTGGAGCTTAAGTCTTTAGTTTACAAAATTTTGTGTTGGGTAAGAAAGGCCAAAAAAGCTTCTTGGGACCATGCATCCAAGAATTTCTGGGAACAATGTTTTCATTAGTTTGAGATGTAAATTTTTCTTCTGTGGAACCTGAAGGTGAAAAACAATCCACAGAGATACTGCTTATCCTGAAAAGTTCATGGGTTTTGATAGAGTACTGATTATTGTGGGATAATGGGAGATGTGGGGAGTTAGAGAAATATTGGAAGTAAATACTATTTTAAGTTATTATAGATATTTTCTATCTAATAATATTGTTTAGGTTATTTGTCATTGTCTAAATCATATGTTAGTGGGTTATGCTACTTGCAGATTAAGTCAGTAATTTTATTTTGTTTTTTTATTTATTATCTAGGTTATTCCTCATTTTATGAGTTATGGATTAATGTGAGTCTTTTTAGATGTCAATTGTCATTTGTTAGTTTTTGTCTATAAATGTTGAGGTTCACAACATGTAAAAATCATATGGAAATAAAATCAGTATTTGTTCTTTGTTAGTGAATATTCGCCTTGGGCTTTTTCAGTTGTATGAGTTTAAGATCATTGCTCATCTTCTGCTAAAGATTTTCCTTCATTTTTATTAATTTATTAAGTTAGATTCTGATTTTATATTCCAATAAAGATTTTTCTTCCTTCTTTCTCTCTGCCTCTCTTGGATCCTATCAGGTTTGAACTACTTGTAAATGTTTATCTCTGTAGAAGTCCCTTGCTAGTGCAGATTGTCTGAACATTTATTCATCTTTTTTGACAATAGGTATCAAAGAAAAGCAGCAAAGTTGACCCAAGATTTCACAGCTAGTGCCAATGAAGTATGCTTATTGTATTGGAAGAATTGCTTCTGATATTGTTGTCCGAATCTTAGTATTTTCTCTAATGTAGGTAGCCCAGGAAACCCTTTCACTGGTTAGAACGGTCCGAACCTATGGTGCTGAAGTAGAAGAAGTTGGAAGGTTCTATTCATTTTCTTACTAATCATCTCTGCTAAAATATTTTGATTTGATGGTATGGAAGAAGCAGAGGATATCTTTGGTGTTTTTAATTCAACAATCATCATTAAACTTTTATCTTATACAGGAAGGGACTTAACCCCATATTGCAAGCTCATTGCACTTAGATTCTGCCATTCTTCATGTTCGTGTACATAATCCCTAAAATTAAAATGAAAAATAGAATCTCAACTCAAAAATATAACAAAGCTGTATTGATTTGATTGTAATCGTAAGGCTCCTTAAACCAGCACATCTAGCTGTGTTAAATCACTGATTAATTGCCATTTGAAATTGGATACTGGCTATTTTGACAATGAAAGTGTACAAGTGTATAGCACTGGCCTATATTTAATTACATGTGTTTTGATAATTTGATGTTCATGATATCGATACTATTGTCAATCAGGTACAAGCAATGGCTTCGGAGATTAGCATTTGTAAACACTAGAGAGAGTTTGGCTTATGGTTTTTGGAATCTGAGTTTTAACACCCTCTACCGTTCAAGTCAGGTTTGGCTACTAATTGTATTGTCAGAAGATTTAAACCAATATTTGCATATTGCAGAGATATATGTCATTTTCACATCAGTTTTTTAAGATATTATACTTGAAGCTCCTTTTGCGTTATGCATGGTCGTTTTGGATGATCCTATTTTCCTCTTAATATCTCACTGTTGTTTTCAGTATTTTTAAGGATATAACTATTCCGCCTGTATTATGGTATGAAAATGGGAAGCATAAAAAGGGTTTGTGTATATGTATAGATGCTCTGTATTTTGCTGCAGGAACTCATTGATTCCTGAATTGCAGGATAAATTTGATTTTATCTAGTTACATTTCAAAGCTAATGACGAGGATCAAGCGAATTAAGTTAGAGGATATATTAGTTTTCTCTCTTATAAGGTGTTTTTCCAAGTTATAGTTTTTGCAAGGATCAGTCTTTGAGCTTAACCCTGCTTGATACATGAGAATTAGGAATAGTAGGGGGAATTAGGAAAATTAGGGATAAAAGGGTAGTTTGGGTATTTGAGTATATTCTCTATAAATAGGGGCTCTAGGTTGTAATGGGGTTTTGTGAATGAAAAATGACTTGCTCTCTTTCTCTCTACCTCCCATCTGCCTCTTCTCTCTCTATTTCTCTTCTACCTCTATCACTGCTGAAATAAACAATATCCAGCGCTAGAAAATAACACTATAACAGCAAATGAGGGGAAATAATGAGGTTTTTAGTATTAAATATAATAAGACCCAAACCAATATTTCCACAGAAACAGCAATCAAGACAGTAATAACAATAAATGAAGGGAAAATGTTGAGTTTTTGATATTAATAAATTGAGAGAAACCGAATTAGAGTTACAAGTCTTCCTCTGATTCTGGCCAAAACCCTATCTCCCCTGAATGATCACAAAAGTAACAACATTACAAGTTCAAACCTCACAAGAGGGTTCACTCCTTCTGGCATTCGAGAGGCCAGTCTCTCCTCTCCCTTCTCTTACAAGATATCCTCTCAATACAAGCAAAAAGATTAAATATACCCTCAGCACGGACAGCATGGCTTCCCCCCTAGCCCATACCTCCCAAAAGATCTTAATTATGGCCAAAGATCCCACGCTACTGTTCCTTAGGGCTAGAGACTGAAGGATAAACCTCTGGACCAGTCACCATTATTCTACTAGAGTCATTCTTCCCCTTTGACTTCCTTTGATATGTCTTAGTAAAATAATGAGGGGCTCTATCAAAATATCAAAAGAACTGAATCAGTGCTACGAAGAACTCCCACTGATTCTGGCAAAATCCTATTCCCCAGGCACACCCAAACTGACTAAGGACAGAACAAGTACTAAGTCACAGAACAAAACACAGTTACAGAACTAAGCTACTGGCTTTTGAGGAGGCCAGTCTCTCCTCACCAAACTCAAAATACAAAATATGGCATAGAAATAACTCCTCGCGATAGAAAGACAATTAGAACTCAAAAAATGACTTTCACAACCTCCAACATAGGCTATTATGAAGCACGGATACTTCAAAAAAGTAAACGTATTAGTGTCTGATATGATACTTGCAGGATACTTCAACATATGTATCATATATTCTAACATTTATAATATTATCTTTTTCCAATAAATTTTTTCTCTGTCACTTAAAAACTTGAAGGAAAAAAAAACACTTAATATTTTAATTGATTGTTATAAATATCCTTATATTGCTTTAGAAATTCTTGTTTAAAAATCAAAATACCTCTATCTATATGATAAAGTGTTGAAATATATATTATAAATGTCCCTGTACCTTTATCCTAAAATTTTGAAAATTTTCTGTATCGCCATATCATATCCAATACTTGTACCCGTGTTTGTGCAACCAGTCCAAAGGACTAAATGCTAGGCTTTTTAGCATATTCATTAGCCATATAGTTTCCAAGTATCTATGTTGCCTTTTTTGTATAATGATGTTCAGGTTTATCCCTTCATGGGCTGGCCCATGATTGTTTATCCATTGTTGATTCTTTTGTCCTTTCCCTAATGTGATTATATCAGACTAGAAGTGATGTGAAACGCAACATGCAGATATTTGCTGTGCTGTTAGGAGGGATGTCTGTTCTCTGTTGTTGTGTGACTGTGGAACAGCTTACTAAGTATGTGTTATACTGTGAGTGGCTGATATTTGCCACTTGGAGGGTGACAAATAGCTTGTCATCATTCCTGCAGTCCATTGGAGCATGTGAAAAAGTTTTTAAAATGATGGATCTTTTGCCCAGTGACCAATTTCTATCTAAAGGCAAGCAATTGTGACCCTTTCATCCCCTTTTACAAATTTATATTTTGCTGATTGTGGTTCACAGCGTATGCAGGAGTGAAGTTGCAGAGGTTAAGGGGACGTTTTGAGTTTGTAAATGTATCATTTTGCTATCCTACGAGGATCATGGTATGATTTCTTGTGTTGCATTTCTTTTGCCTTATTTGCTGTAGTAGTCATATTTAGGATCCTGTAACTCATTCCAAATAATTATGAAAATGCATTTAGCTACTTGTCCTGCACTGAATCGCTATGGTTGTAAAGTGTGTTTGATAACTTTGAAGCACGAATTATGCATAATTTCTAAGCATTTGGCAACCTCCTACTTTCATCTTTTGGGAAGCATGTGATGGCTTGTCATCACCTCATTTGTGAGTGGAGCCACTTGTGTAGCTGCCACCTGTTCCACCATGGTTGCATCTTGAACACCATGCAATTTTTACCATGACAAAACTACCCACAACTAATTAGCGCGTTGCATTCTACCTTCATGATCCGGGATGCCTCCATTGTACCTTCATCACAACTTATGTGACCCCACTGCCTCCATAACACATATCTTCAACTGTTACCATGTCGATCTTTTTTGAGCAGGTTCCTGTTCTAGAACGCTTAAACTTTTCTGTAGAAGCAAATGAAGTGATTGCTATAGTAAGAACTCTCTTTCGCTGTCACCTGTCTTTCCCATTTTGGTGTTGCTCAAATGTCATCCTAATTTGACATCCCTGCTTTCCCAAGGTTGGTGTTAGTGGCAGCGGAAAGAGCACATTACTCAACCTCTTACTTCGTTTATATGAGCCAAGTAATGGTCAGGTAAACGACTCAGACCTTTCAATCTTACCATGGCAAAGGGGAATCAAATTTATTATTAAATACAAGGACTTGTATGCTTGTCATCCATTGGATCAGTTGTCTGTTCGAAACCATTTTAAAATGCATCTAACTAGTTCTATGAATTCATTATATAAATTTACTTGATTTTGTTCTTAAATTGATGTCGTTATTCTCACGGCATCACCCAGTACGACCTTGGGATAAAAAGCAATCTTATTCATATGGTCACTCCAACTGATATGTAACTTGGATGAACATTCTGGGTAACCGTATCTATTTTAACAGATTTACATTGATGGGTTTCCTCTCGGAGAATTGGATATCAGATGGCTGAGACAAAACATTGGATATATAGCACAGGTTCGGTAATTGAAACTGGAGTCATTACTTATGCTTAATCATTAATTTTTTATTTTATTTTTTGGGAGATCAACTTAGTCATTAATTTTAATTGATTCATTATTGGAACATTTTGTTTCAGACAGGAACCACATCTCTTTCACATGGACATTAAGTCAAACATAAAATATGGTTGCCCCAGAGACATTAAACAGGAAGATGTTGAACGAGCAGCAAAGCAGGCCTATGCTCATGACTTTATTTCATCATTTCCCAACGGCTACGAAACCATTGTTGATGATGACTCACTCAGTGGGGGGCAAAAGCAACGAATTGCCATTGCTAGGGCCATTCTTCGGGACCCAATTATTATGATACTTGATGAAGCAACCAGTGCTCTAGATCCTGAGAGTGAGCATTACATCAAGGTAGTCCAAACCCAAGCTTCTTGAAAATTCATTTCCGTTTTTTTTTTTTTAACCAATTCAACACAGCGCTGATTAGTCATAAATTGTTTTAGGAGGTTGTATATTCATTAAGAAGTGGATCTAAAGCAAGAACCATCATTATCATAGCACATAGGTGAATTCTTGCCTAGCCTGCTTTGCTCTTTTTCCCCCCTTATAAAGATTGGTTGCATAATTGCGATTCCTACCATCCATAGGCTTTCTACCATAAAAGCTGCTGACAGGATCTTCGTAATGGATGGTGGTCGCATCATTGAGGTGATTATATGCCCATCTGAAGTATACTATTACTAACATTAGTAATTTCTGAATCATGTGAAATTGTTGAGCTTAGAAAATTTCATCATTTCGACGTTCTGACTCGATGCCATTGTTTAAATACAAGGCATGGACGAATTAGTTGCCTGAAGCTACATGCTTCCAGCTGTTTTAGCCAACTTTTGGAAAAAAAAAAAAATGAAGAAGTAGTTTTGCTTCAAAATATTCATCCCATATTCCTGAGAACTCAATCAAGATTCTAGCACTACTCATTCAACTGTTCCAGGCACGTTTGCTGATTGTTGTTTCATCAATTCTTGAGTGCTCGCAGATGGGTAACCACGAAGAACTTCTGCTTGAAGATGGGTTCTATGCAAAACTGTATAAGGGTCAAACAGATGCTTTGACTTGATTCAAGTGGCTTGTGGATTTACAATTTAAGGGGAGAGGGTCGTGATCATTATACTATGTAATGTAATCAAAGAGAGTTGAAGGTTGCAATGCTGATAAGAACCGTGATTCATATCATCTATAGTTCTTAAGAGATGGCATATGATTTTCTACTCATATCATAATTGTAAACGAGGGAGAGGGAATCGGTGATTATTTGCCCTAGAACACAAGACAATATGATAAGAAGGTGAAAGGGAGGTCAGGCCTGAGTTGGAGGAAGCTGCTTGTCTAAAGCGTCGGTGGAAAAATCACAAGGCTGTGGGACTTGCTGGTGAGGCTGCCCTTTGGGTTGCTTATTTTCTGAGCGTTTCTCGTCATCGTGCTCCTTCCTCTTCCCTTTATCTTCATCTTCTACGACGCCCTTCACTTCTTTGGCCTTACCCACGTCTTGGTTGTCCATGGCCTTTCCTTCTCATTTTTCAACTTGAAAAGGCTGCTTCGGCTACTTGTTATAGGTCTAGCAAACTCTCTCTCTCTCTCTCTCTCTGTGCATGAACCTTTGTTTACACGTGGGCACTGCTCCCCCTTGTTTGCTGCCACGCTTTCACTGTCCTTGGCTACCTCTATAATTAGATTTGAGAAACAGCCGGGCATATGGGCTTACCGGCTTAGCCTCTTGAGTCTGAATTTAAAAAAAAAAATAATTGATTTTTAAAAAATTTAAAGGATTCATGGCCAGCTTATAAGCTCACTTTTATTATTTTTTATTGGAAAAATATTATTTTAAATTTTTAAATTTTTATTTTATTTTTAAATCCCTTCAAGATTTTTATAGTTTGTTCATGGAGGGACATAAAATAATAAAAATAAAAGTGTAAAAATTTAGAACATCAAAAAAGTGCAGATCAATATCAAAATTTGATTGAAGTATGGGAATTTAAAATTATATTTTTTTATTTTTTAGATTTTTTAAAATTAAAAATTTTAATTATAATATTTTATATTTTTAAAATATAAATTATAATGTTCAAAAATTAAAAATAAAAGAATTAATTTTAAAATAGAAACATATATTTTAAAGTTAAATTTAATTTAAAAATTAAAACTATTTTATTCTTTTAGAATTAGAGCCAAAAGGGTCTTAAAAGAGTTGCTTGATCATGAACTCATTTTTTTAAGGTTTAATAGAGTCGTGCTTCAAAAGTATTTTTTAAGAAAATATCATTTTTTTAAAGTTTGAATTTTTATAAAAATAAGGTAAAATAAATGATTTGTTGGGCTTGGCCCATCTCAGCTCTTGTTCTATTATTTATTCTAATTTTTTACATAAAAAATATTCAAATTCAATAAAAAATAATGAAATTTAAATTATCAAAATTAAATTCAAATGACAAATTTTGTATACATATAGTAATATATACCAAATTTATTTAGAAATTTATATTTTTTGGCCAAATAGCAATTCATATTTAGAAAGTTATTTTTCTTTTCATTCAAGGTTTTTTTAAAAAAACAATTAAAATTTTAAATTTTGAAACTGCTTAAATCTTATTTCAAATGTTATCATGTGATAGTTTTTTTTTTTTTTAATGGAGCTATCCAGTCCAAAGTCCTCAAGTATTAGTAATTTAGTCTGATTTTTTTTTTTTTTGTTGCTAAATTTGATTTCAAAGATGACATCCATGTAGTGAAATAGTAAACTTAGTATTGATTAATTTTATATTTTATAAAATTCATGAAAGATCAAAACTACTGGGAATTGGGTTTTCTCCCTGCAGAAAAGCAATTATTACAAATCTGGATTGTTAAATAGAATTTAATAATTTAAATTTGATAATTTTTAAAAGCACAACTTTACTTAAAAAGTCTATATTTACAATGAAAAAGTAATGGAGTGAAAAGATTACAAAAAACTGAAGCTGTGCTTTAAATTTGATGCACCCTGTCCTCATCACCTCTCCTCTGCTTTCCCGCTGCTCTCTGGTCTTGTGCCCTGTGCGTGTCCTCGTTTCTCATGCCTATCAAATCCACAAGCTCACACATAGGCCAACGCGCCCACCAAACAAAGTCTTCTACTGGGGTTCTTTCTGGAACTTGCAGTTCCCTGACAGTAGATTATCTTGTACCTCTTGGCTATTTTATCTTGGCGAGGTAGCCGGTGGAAGGTGATTTTTACATTGCGCAACCCACCTTTCTTTTGACTCTTCGTGGCGCCTTTAAGAAAAACAACATGTTAAGTGATGAATTTATGATAGTTTTTCGTGTTTGTCTGTTCTCTCTTCCCCTTTGTACCAACCAAGTCTTGATTTTCGTTCGTTTCCAAGGCTAGCGCTGATACTTCTATTACCCTAGCGTAGCTGTGCTTCCGGAAGCTCCATGGCTACTGTGGGAGAAAGCTCTTCGGCTGCGGCAACATCCAAGCCAGTAGTGGTTAGGGTCAAACGAAAATCATTTCAGTCACCAATTGACGCTTTCTGTAAGCAACTGTTTCTTTTCACTCTCTACTATTGCCTCTTCTCTAATTATGGAGGGTGCTTGTTAAAAAAATAATAATAATAAATTTGTAGTCTTTGTCGAAATATTTCCTGTCTGCTTCACAAAAACGTGCCATCATGATTTGAGTTGGGGCTGAAGGGGATTCAATCACCAATTGACGCTTTCTGTAAGCAACTGTTGCTTTTCACTTTCCAGTATTGCCTCTTCTCTAATCATGGAGGGTGCTTGTAAAAAAAAAAAAATTTGTAGTCTTTGTCGAAATATTTCCTGTCTGCTTCACAAAAACGTGCCATCATGATTTGAGTGGGGGCTGAAGGGGATTGTTTTCAGGCTGATCTACCTTTCTAATTTCAGCGAAGATAATGGAATTTGGTTTTGGGTGACAATGTAGGGCTGGAAATCAATGAGAGGCCATTAAAGCGCCCTCTGGTGGATTTTGCGAATCTATCTATCTCGGATAGCAACACTCAGAAAGGTATGTCACTTGTGTTAGACCAATTGGGGTTTGGTCTGTTTTGTATATTACATATTTTTCTTCCTCTGATGGCTGTGACAATGTATTCTTCCGCTGTGTTTATAATTAGTTGGAGAAAATGGTAGCCTAATTATGAATATGGAGTTCAAAATTGTACAGAGCCACAGCCCACACCCTAAACTTTTATAATAGTGAAACCGTCAATTGGAACCTTTTCTTCTCATGTGATAGGCGCATGGGAAAAGGGAAATACATTTACTGTAAGGTTTATCCTTCTTGCAACTTAAGGTTACGAAGTTTAAAACTACTTTAAAGACCCCTCATTGACTTTAACTCAAAGGTTGAAAAGGATGAAACCAAATTGAAAACACAAATTCCAAATCTTGTTGTTGAATCCTTTAATCCCCAATTCAAAACCAAAATCATAACGCATTAGCAAAACAGAACTAGGATTGATCAATGAAAAATGTATTGCACTTTAAGCAAAATTATAATTATAATTAAACCCACGCTATAAAATTGATATTAATGGCTTGTAAATTAACTGAATAGAAAATATACCTATACGTAGTGCCTTGGCCCTTCCCTAGTCTTAGGTTCAGGTTACTGGCTTGCATCTTTGAGGTTATTGGGAGAGCCATGCCATGTCTTTCTTTCCACATTCTTGAGTGAAGGGGATTTCTCTTGGGAATGAAGATCATTGTGTTTGTTATTGAGATTTGACCAATAGATGCTTTTCTTACACAGTTACTCTGCTTTGTCAATGAGCCATTCTATTCCACATTCTTTAAGTACTTTTTCCCCTTGAAATTTTTGTTCAGTTTTGCAAACTTGTTTGGCGATTTAAGTTTTTTTTTTTTAATTGAAGAGTGAAGAATTCAATCACCTATGACTGAAAATTTGAGTTTCATCTAGGCTCTGATCTGTACTTTTATTAATTGCCTCAGTATATAATTCCACATTCTTTATATTTTGTTTCAGGTTGTTTCTCAATGTTTAAGCCTTTTGTTACATCCAACTTATCTGTTTAAGTCTGAGGCGGTATTTTTCACATTTTTGAACATGTTCAAAATTATATAACTAGGGTAAACTTTCAGGTGGTAGTGTATTTTGACATTTCACCATGTGTCTATTACATGAGAAAAAAAACGTTAAAATCCATGTCCTGTTAGCATTTTCGCTTTTTATGAAGTTCAGGGGTTGTTTTGTGTGGTTTTGAACTTCATGCGGCAAAGTTGTTATTATGGTGTATTTCAGAGCATAAACTGTATCTTCTCTTATTAATTTTAAGTTCTGCGTGTGCACATTTTAATTCTTAATTTAAGGTTATATGATGTATGCCCGATAAAAGAGAGAGGGAAAGAAGAAAAAATAGGGAGATAAAGAGAGAGGGAGTGAGAATGAAAGGGAAAGGGTGGGGTAAAAGGATAGAGGGAGGAAACAAACACTAATATTTGCTTCCATTATTATGCTGCATGAAAGTTTCTAGCCAAGGGTTATAATAGAAACTTAGCGCATGCTTAAAACACTGAAAGTGATAATAAAGAATACTCTTAGTTTAAGCCTTAATTGATGGTTTAACTCTTGATTTACTGCCAATTGTCCGAATATTGATTTTACGTTGCTCATCACAAAGGTTGCATCCTGATACAGAGAGCCCAAGATGACAGTTTCAGTGCAGCAGTTGTTCAGATACAACTTAGTTGTCCAATTTATCTCATTATTACTTTTCTTCATTTTGGCTTAATGTATGTTTTATAAATAAATATTTTTAGCTACGCAGAAAAGATTTGGAAAGTTCTGGAATATTTTGTCTATGAGTTCCTAACTCCTGATATCATGGTTTTCGTTTGCATCAGAGGAATTGAATACCAAGAAGGTTTTTGTTCAACATGTGGAGACAATAAGCGTCCCTGAGGTTACCTTTGATGTTGTGCAATTCTTTGTGGTCAGTATGGCAGTCAAGCCGGTGCTCACCATTCCTCTCTTTGATATTGTATCATGATGTGTAACTTTTTATATCATTATCACATCATGGTGCAGTGGACTTGTTATCAAAGTGTCTTATTGATTGTGTTTCTTTAGGAATCTGGTTCTAATGGTGCATGTGAATGTAAATCAAAACTGGTGGAACGTAAAGAGTTATTCAAGAAGGGCAATGTAAGAATTATCTTCTTTCCCTACCTCTCTTATGTGCAATCTCACATAAAATTGCATTTTCATGAATAGAGATACCAAACCCAACTCTCTCCAAAGAATCAGCCATTGCAAATATGCTTCTCAATGCTACTTATATGGTCCTTACCATTTCTTATTTCCAATTTATTCTCCGCAGAAACAAGACCAGCTGTTGCTTAAAGCTAAAGAAAAGCATGAGGTTTGTCACGTGACCTAAATTACTCATTCACGTGTATGCATATAGTTTGAACATTATGTATTTCTTCCCTGGTTAGCATATTGAAGTCTCGACTGTAGGCATGCTTTGCATTTTTTTCAAAGATGTCTATTTGTTGTGCTTTCCAGCTTTTGGGCCCCCTTTCTGAACTCAATTTGATGATATTGTTGGTATGGAATTGTTCCTTTGCGCTGGTTCTTTTTATATTTTGTTGTTTTATTGGTAAACTCCTCTAACATTGATTTTCCTTGGTGCAAGTTACAACAACAACAACAAGCCTTATCCCACTGGCCAACTTTATAGATTGAACAACGCCATTGTGTTCTATTATTATTTAAGATTTTTGGACTATTGTTAATCAAAAGGTTTTGTTCAACAACTTCCTTTTCTTTAGTCTTCCTCTACCCCTCTTTACAAGGCCCAAAGCTATCTATTACTCTTTCCTCATAGGTGCTTCCTATGGCCTTCTCTACACATGGCCAAACTATCTTAAATGATTTTCTACCATCTTTCCTTCAATAGCTATCACACTCACTTTTTCTCATTTATGTTCATTTTGAATTTTATTTTGGTACAAGTTACATTTAACTAAATTATTTTGAGTCCTTTTACTCCCACTTAGAGCCTGATTGTCAATGATCTATGTTGAGGCAAGTTAAATATATGTGCGTGAGTATGTGATTCCTGAAAAGTGTACATTTAGAGCTAGAAAAGAAAAAACTGTTGTCCAAGATGATAAGAGAGATCAAACTTCGGCTCCATATTAACTCCATATTCTTGATAACATATCATTAACCTGCATTTTAAGTTGAAGATCATTCAAAACTCCTAAAATATGATACTCCCTCCGGTCTTTAATATAAGGCAAATTTAACCAACTTCATACTTATTTAGAAATGGTAGTTATATCCTTAAAATTGTTAAATAAGAAATATGTAACTTTGCAATTTTGTCCTTCTTTGCAATTAATAATTATAATAAATTTTTGTCTAGGAATTTAAACCATAATAAATAAACAATGAATACAATTGATAAAAAGTTAATTACTCTAACTCTAACTTTACAAGGCTAGGGTGTTTTTTTGAAACCTAGCTTTGACCTCTTAGTTAACATTTTTTAAAAGCTTGATAAATAATAGAGTACAATAGTTTCGTACAACTTATGCAGTCGACCCTATTTTGTGGGATAAGGCTTGTTGTCATTATCATTGTAGTTTTGACTGCTTTAGTTGCTTATTGATTGCTACATATTAGCATCTTGATGTTTTCTCTTTTCCATGGTATGCATGCTTGTGAATTTGTTACGTGAGTATCATTTCTCCCTGAAAATACAAATGCCCTTCCAGAATATGCCTTTTCTGTTGTTAGGTGTGGTTTAATTTGATTATAATAAATTGAACTGTTGGTAAATAATTTGTTTTTGAAATTTGGAGGGACATCTAGGCAAACTCACTTAGATGCATGCTGCCATTGTAGCACACTCACAATTATTTATTTTTCTGCATAGCAAATCTGAAGGTGGTTTCTAGTGACCCTTTACAATGTTTGTGTTGAAGTGATGTATAAAAATAAAACTAAGGGAGAAAAACATTAAACTTGTCATTTTGTGAGTAATGATGAACTCATGATTATGGAAGTTGTTGAACGAAGCTCCTTGTTTACAATATTCCTAAAAGCTTGGTTAATAAACAACAACAACAACAATAAGTCTTATCTCACTTAGTGGGGTCGACTACATGGATTATACGATATCATTATACTTTATCATTTATTAAAATTTTAAAAATATTGTTAATTAAGATGTATCGATTAACAATTTTCAAAAATATTCTCTTTGGCCTTCCTTTACCCTTCTTGACAGAGCTTAAAGTTATCTATTTCACTCTCCTTAGATATGCCTCTGCGATCTTTTTTGTATATGTCCAAACCACTTTAAATAATTTTTTACCATTTTTCTTTTAATAAATGCAGCACCCATTTTTTCCCGTATGCGCTCATTTTTGATTTTGTCTTTATATATATGTTTGCACATCTCTCTCAACATTCTTATCTTGGCTACTCCAACTTTATGCTCTTGTTGTCCTATTAAAGCTCAACATTCACTACCAAAAAATATTGCTAGTCCTAAAAGCTTGGTTAATGATGCAGCATGATGGTATTGTGCAATCCATGTACCTAACCCCACCTAGTGAGATAAACCCTATTGTTGTTGTTGTTTGTTGAACTCATGATATTCTCACAAGTCATATCCACAAGCAGCTCTTATTTGTTTCTAAGTCCACTTCTTTTCCTGCATGTGTTCCCACCCTCCCTCTTTCTTCTTTTTATTTCTCTCTTTTCACACCTGTGGATAATGAAATAGAATTAAATCAGGCGTGGTGCCACATTGCATCTACCAGATTTGAAGCTGAATGTAGTTTCTAGCGTGTTTCATACTATGTTCTTAATGAAATTCTGGAAACCAATATGTTAGGCGACTAGCTTAAGAAAGGCAATAGAAGATTACTGGCACACAGGTTAGAATTCATATAAAGTAGTATGATATTACATACAAGATGAAATGCTTTTTATGTGGATGCCGCTTTTTGGAAACTTGATGTGTTGCTTTTATTTTTCCTCTAGTCTACTGCAAAAAATGCCCGATTTGAACAAATATGGAAGAGCAGGAGGGGAAACAAGGAATCAGTGCATGCCAAAGAATTACAAGAAATATGCCAGTTCTATGATATTGTCCGTGTTGATGAAGAGAAAAATAACAAGGCACAGCAAGAGTAAGCATTTCCATAGCAGAATCAAATTGGTTTCTTTTATTGTGACAATTATCATATGGAACAATTTTTCTTGTGATTTTGCAGACATATGTCCTTGGAGGATCAAAGACTTTTGTGTAGTTACCTCCCTTTACTAAGAGAGTTTATTCCTAATGCTGCTGCAGAAATTGAATCCGATATGCGTGCTCATTATGAACAAGGTTGTTATTGGCTGCTAACTACCATAAAATTGTTACCAATTTGTCTTCCTTTGATGTAAGTTGCCCTGGTATGTAAATAGATGGAGCAAGTGGGGATCTTTCTACTTGAGCAAACACTATTGTCTATTAGATCAATACCAATTCATTCGCATCGATACCTCCCATTAATGTTTAGAACAGTTGATTGTTAATGCTGCTGACTTCTTTCATACCAATTTGTTTTGTTTGGAGTGTGATTTCCTCCCTTAAATGAAACATACAGATAATTACGTTTATGATATTTACGCTGTGAATGAGGAGATGGACATAACTGTTGAAGACGCTACATATTCTTATCCTCTGTGAGTGTTTGCTGTTTATAAAAGTTAAATCAATCACATTCTAAATTCGTTCTTACTCGACACCATTGTGTATGTTTGAATCAGAGTTCAAGTTGATGAAGAGGATTATTATGATGGGCCCGAAGAGTCAGATTGCGAAAGTGATGACTCAAATGGTACTTAGTTGACTCCAGCTTTTCTTTCTTACTAAAGATTAAACAACTTTGTTGACCGTGTGTTCATATTTGGTGATTTATAGCTGAAAACAATCCATTGAATGATTATCCGGACGAGATATCTGAAGAGGAAGATGAAGACAATGAAGCTTCCGATAATGATTCAGACGAATGTGAAAGCAAGAATGCTAGTGATGAATCATCAGAGGAGGACTTTCGTCACGTTTCTTCGAAAGATGATACTGATCTATTAATTGATGAGGACTTTGATGACGATTATGATGCAGGTAACCACGATGTTGATGGCGTGGATGGTAACGAAGATTTGAGGTGGTCTTGTCGATGAGTTGACTTTAGTGTTTTCTCCTTTTTATTTGGCACATCCAAACGGTAGTCCGGTCCAACGTAACAGTACAGAACATCAAATTTGGTGTTTACGGACGAGTGTGAAAAATCGTAGATGAACAGATTTAGAACTCATGAGCATGTCTTGGTTGGAGATAGGTTTAGCTCTGCCATGTTATTGCGCCGAAAAGGAAATGCACTTGATTTGCTGTTTTGAACTCACATTTCCTACTTTTCTACGCTATAAGACAACATATCTACACTGGCCGTTTATATGGGTAATTTGGATCTTCTGTACATATTGAATATTGATATCATTAATTAAATTTTTAAAAACTCAATTGTCTTGAGAGGGGCCAAATTGTATACATCATTTTCAATTTCTTTTTAGTATTTGCATATTATTTTTACAAAAAAAAATGTAGTTGAACTGTATTTTTTTTCTTTATGATGATTTATTTAAAATAAAAATTATTAATTTTTATCAGATCTGCTGTAGAGCAGCAGCGGCACTTAGTGCTGCTGCAAGTAGCAGAAAAACCTAATTCTAGTTCAACTTATTATTTATTTAATAATTATTTTACTATCTAACTGAAGGACTTAATGAATTTGATAACTCAGTGGTTTTATTTAGGCATAGCACAATTTCCATAATTAGTAATTAGGCGCTGAAGAGAATAATTCCTATCAAAATTAAGGGCCTGATTTTTTTTAAAAAAAATTATTTTTAAAAACAAAAACATTTAAAACTTGTTTGGATAAGTATTTTAAATTTAATTGTTTCTAAAACTATATTTATTTTTTATTTTAAAAACAAAGAAAAAAATAGAAACAATTTTAAGTTGTTTTCATTCTATTTTACTTAATTTTAAAATATACTACATTTAATTATTAAAAAATTATAGTTAACTTGATTAATTTATTTTGTAAATCATTAGTATTAACTGTTTATAATCATCACTATTAGTTTATTTTTAAATTTTGAAATTATTTTAAAATTAACATAACTAAATAAATTTTTATTTGAAAAATAATTTTGAAAATTGAATTATGAAACAGTTTTTGAAAATAAAAAATGAGAACACATACCAAAGAAACCCTAAATGTCAAGACGTTTATGACATCTCAATTTCTCATCTTTTTTTTATGCACAAATATTTAGTATATGAACGAGTCCAAAAAAAAAAAATCTCCACGCCGCATCTGCAGCCCAAAATCATCACACTTCGTCCAACGAATCACAATAACTCAAGATATGCAGCATGTTTGATCGAGTCAAATGTTTTATGGCAAGACACAAATGAGTTTCAAATATTGATAATATGCTCGTGAATATAACTTACGAGGCATAATAATATATATAAAATTCTTGAGCCTTGTTTGGCACAAAAGAATGAGGGATTAGGACTAACATTAGCATTGATTAACCCTAAGTTTTTATGTTTGCTATGTGGGAATAAAGATTTTAATCCCAAACTCAAACCCATTTGGATAGGAATATTTAGTACCACCATCTTCTAGTATTGCAAAATCAATCTTGGCATTAATTTTTTAAGACCATATTGCCCTTATTCCTACCTTGACAATCTGTCTTTATTGTCGTCTTTCAATTATCTTGACTTCAACAATCCATTTCTTTCATCTTTATCTTTTGATTATTTCTTTCTGTTTGATTTTTCATTATATGGGTTTGATTATTCTTGCTTTGACAATCCTTTTCTTTAATCTTCATCTTTGAACCCTAGTCAGCGACATCAGTAGTAGTTCCAAAGTTGTCCTCTTTAGTTTAACGACAGTGACATTTTCAAACCTATATCCATGAGTTGCATCGCTACGTTTGCTCTCTGGAAAGGCAAATTTGAATTATTATTCTTTTTGGTTTGGCTCTTTACATTCGAGTTTAACTATTGCATTTTCTTTAATGAAACTCATATCCATGACTTTTTTTGCTCTTTAGAAAGGCATATTTGCTTCGACAATGAAGGTTGTCACGAGAGAGAGAAAGAGAGAGAGAGATGATGATGATAAAGAAGATGTTTGATGATAAAGCTTGTGGTAGGAGAGAGAACGATGATGGAGAAGAAGATGAGGACAATGTTGTCTTTTAGCTACTTTTTTTAAAAAAAACTTGAGTTTCATTTTTTTATCTCAAGACATACCAAATTTGATTTTAAAACTTATTTCTACTCCTAATCCTACTCTCATAACAAATCTCAATCTTAGTCTTTTAAAATTCAATACTTTGTACCAATAGTAGGGATGCACAAATACCAGCTTGGACCAGGTTACTCCTTAACTCGATGTCTAGTCTTAAATAACATCAGGTTTAAAAAGTTAGCCTATAACCTGGTTTGACATAAAATTAACCTGGTCTCCATCAAGACTAGATCGGGTTATATCAGGTTTTGAGTTAGTCCTATAAAAAACACCACATCATAAATTTGAAAAGGAGAGGAAAAAAATAAGAGTAATCATCTATATATCAAGCCTAACCCAAATCACTTAAGCCCTATGGACCACTCTTCCTCCTTGTCATTATATGCTGCCACCCACTCTTCCCTTCTTCCTCCTCACATGGTTCCGCCTTTCTTCTTCTTCCTTTCAATTATTTTCACTTCTTCTATTCCTCTTTCTTAAAAACCAATTTAAATATTTGAAAATGAGGGAAAGAGAGAATTAAGGAGGAGGTAAAATCAAAGCAAAAGTTTGGAGGTAAATATAAAGAAAAATTCAAAGTAGATATGGGAGGAAGTAGGTCAACACTTTAGAGGAAGAAAGAGGGAGCGAGTCTTTGTTAGGAAGGCTAAAGGAAGGAGATTGATGCTGGAATTAAGATGAGAGGAGGGAGGGATACGAAACAAGAGGATGAGGTGGTGAGGCAAAGGTACTGGAGGATTTTTTTTCTTTTAATATTAATGCATCAGGTCAGACCAAACTATCTGGTCAAAAAGGTTAATCTGATGTCCAGTCTGACCTGATGGTATGATCTGGCTTGTTTTACTCGATACTCCATCGAGTTTTATTTTTTTTACATTGGACTGGACCGAGTTTGATCGTGTTGGACTGGGTTGATTGGGTCACCAGGTTTATGAACAACCCTACCAAACAGGACATTGGAATATTCTCAACTCTGGATACCCCAATGCAACATCTTTCCAATTAAATATTCTATGTTTAATCAAGATATGTAGTGTGTTTAATCAAATCAATTCAAGGCAAATATTAAATAATAAGACATGAATAAGTCATAGATATTGATAATACACTTGTATTTAGAATGACATTATTATAATATTCCAGCTTTGGAGCACTTCAACGCCTAGTCTTTCCAACTAAATGTTCCAAGGTTACAATGAAAAATGCTATAAAAAAAGGGAAATATCATTTAAGGATCACCAAGGTAGTTTAATATCAAATAAAGACCAAAAGATTTTGAAATATTATTGCATAATTATAAGATTGATTTGAAAATAATTTTAAATATGAAAAGACTATAAAAGCCTTGCTTTTCTTTTTTAATTGACAAGAGTCATTTATTAATTAACAAGTTTTCATTTGTATTTAACAAGAAAACATTCACTAATTGACTAGTTAAAAAATATGGAAAAATTTTATTGTAGGAAGAGACAAATGTAGATTATGTCTTGACAAGCATCTATTTATTAATTAACAAGTAATTATTTACATTTAATAAGAAACCATTCATTAAGTGACAAGTTTAAAAAAAGAAAAAGAAAAGCAAGCATACTATAATCTTTTTCTATCTAATTTTTTTTTCAAAATAGTCCTTTAATCCTATGGTGATATTTTATAATCTTTTACTCCTTGTTTAGTATTAAATTTCTCCATCATCCTTGAATAATATTTTCCTTGAAAAAAAGTCATGACAAAGGATATTTAGTATTTTAAGATGGTCTATCATATGGATCCAGTTGAATGTCATCAATTATTACACCTATTAAGGGGGGAGGGGGAGAGGTCACTTTACTTCAAACTTACAATATCTAAACGAGCTATATATATCATGGCATGAAAATGGCAAATGCACCTCAGCATACTTAAGGAGTTCAATGTCATTTGAAGTGAGAAGGAGCTAGATGTAGATTGAAACCGGTTATATATCTCATACATATTCTAAGCCTTTTTGTGCATAAAACACATTTTTATCATTGAAACCTAGTATTAACATGTTGAAAGCTTGGAGAGATAACAATCTAGATATAACGTCTAGGTATTTCATTCGATCTAACACCAAATGCCTCAATTTCAACTTCTTGAACTCCTTCAACTAATTTGTTTATTCTAAATATTCTAGATTCCTATGGATTCAAAAAGATGATGAAAATTTTCTTATTTCTAGATTGTTCTTAAGATATTTTGAACCTTAAATACCTACCAATTGAGAAATATTATAGAGCATATCTCATAAAAAGAAATGATGATGATGATGATATTTTCCTTACATGTTTTGAATTATAGGCCTTTAACCCATAATGAAAGCTTGTGTAATTATATGTGCTAACAGACCTAACACTATTCTTTATCAATAATCCTTGACTTATGACATCAATTATATAGAGAAACATGTCTGTGATCATATCATACGTCTTAACTATTTTCACCTTCTTCACAAACTTTAAAATCACTAGTTCCAAGACCATCTTTTGCCAACTATCTTTAACTTTGATCACATGCTATCTAAAAAGTCATGTCTCAAATCACATTAAGCATTGTAGTTATGTAAATAGACATGTCTTGAATCACATCATACATTATAACAATCTTTGATTCATGACACTTGTTAATCATATAGAGAAATATGTCTTCGACCAAATCTCCCTATTCCTTGGACACTGCCAACTATTAATCCCCTTCCTATAAGGTTTTAGAAATTGTAGCCACAAGAATTTGATTTGTATGTCACCTACACCATTGATATTTATAAAACATTAAGGAGGTTGTAGTGCTTTTTGAAACTGTCATGACTAACTTTAACCTTAACCCCCACCTTACAACTAAATGTTGGGTAAGTAGTAGCAAAAGAATAATATTCCTAAACTAGGTTTACCACACTATTATTCCTAACTTTGAGAAGGTTTTCACATTTACGACACTTGTTATATAAAGAAATATGTCTTCAATCATATCATGCATCTTAATTATATTTACACCTTCCTCATAAACTTTAAAACCATAAATCTCGATGCTGTGATCATATCATGCATTTTAACTTTGTTTTCACCTCCTTCATAAACTTTAAATCTACAAATTTCAAGATCATATTTTACCAATTATCTTTGACTTTACTCATATGCTACCTAAAAAGCCATGTTTCAAATCACATCATACAATGTAAGCTATGCAAAAAGACACGTCTCGAATCAGATCATGCATTATAGCAATGTTTTTCACGTTTTATAATCTTGAATAAGGAAACATACCTCAAACTTGAGATTATGTCTCTTCCTTCTTTACATGCTCTAGGTATATCATCATTAAATTTGTCTAGAAATCCTTCTCCAATCTAAAACAAAATAGACTCATCTTTCATAATTATATACCATTTAAGAATTATTTTTCCAATGCCACCCATGCCATATAAGCAAATAATGTCCACTTTATCATTCTCAACACCTTTTAGAGCTTGTAGCTAACTTGACAATTCTTGGGACAAGGACCTTCAAACAACTTGACTTGCGTTTCTTGATCACCTACTACAAAATGACCTAAATATGGATTTATAAGGCTTCAATTTTGACCATATAAACTTTCATCTCATTTAAAACATCTTGCTCCAGATCCTCCTTTACCACTTCAACCTTTATCTTTACAGAGGAGAGATTATCTCTTAACTTAGATATAGAATCCACCCACAAGGCAAAGCAACCCTGCAAGTGAATTAGTAAGTCAACAATTAGATTAAATAAGCTAAGTATAGCCCCAAAATAATCCTTATCCATATAAACATGAAATTTTTAACAATAGTGACAAGTAAACCATAACTGTAAAAAGTTCCTTCTCTATTTTCCTCCTTTTTCATTAAAAACAGCAAACTACAACAACCACTGCACAGTACACTTTTTATGTCTTTGGATGAAAGAAGCTTACCCCTTGAATTGGAATTTCAATTAACTAAAGAGAAAAAAAATAATATGAGGAATCTTGTTTCTTAAATTTACATTTTTTCCCACTTAAAGAGAAGGAACTTTAAATGTAATATGCCATACATAAAGACGAAACTTATCATTTTGCAATATTAAGATGATTGAATATGCATTAATAATACATATGGTTAGTAGAACCTGAAGTTAGGCATGCTCATGTTAGATCTTCAAATTTTGACATACCATCTTTTAAGTAGTTGCTTTACTTGTATTCTTATAGTTAAAGATATGCCTAGGCTAAAATTTTAGATCAAAGTGGAAAAAATCATAGCACATCTCAAAATTCAAGAAGAAGGAAAAATAAATAAAAGAAACAATCACGTTGTGATACCACTTCATTGATGGGTTCATTAACAAAATACAAACATAGACTCCTCCTCTCTCCCCCTCTTATAAAGAAAAAATGAAGATCTCTAATCACATTAGATCTTTCGCATTGCTTGTACTTGAGATTTTCAAAGCTTAAATTGTTCTCTCATTTACCCTTTCTTGCATCACCTATAATAGATCTCTTGTTTGAGTTTCATACTATTACATCCCATATCAAAAAAACTTCGAGAGGGTTTAACTATATAAATAGGTGCATTTTTGAAGTGAGAGTAATGATTTCATGATAAAGTGGTATCAGAGCTGAACCCGAGTTTTGTCTAGTCGATAGGCTCTCCAGTAGGCCACTTATAACGTGGGCTTCACAAATTGGCAAAGGCTATTATGTTCCACATCAAAAGGACTTCAAAAGGGTCCTAGCCATATAAACGGGTACGCTGTGCATCTAATTGAACTAGTTTTTCAAGGAGAAAGTAATGGCTTTATGAAAACATGTTTTCTATGTAGCCAGGGCTACTATTTTGTTAAGCTATTCAACAATCATAAATCATAATTGCAAGCTACTTTATTTATTCTTTTTTAAAAAAATTGCAAGCTGGCAAGTTGCTTTATTATTTGTTCTCCCCCCTTTTGAGACAAACTATAAGCTACTTTAAGTTTCTTTATTTCTAAAAAAAAATTTTAAAAATATTTTTTTTTTAGATTCGGTGGTGTGTTTTAATGCCATTGATATTTGTCATGAGTTATTTTGGACATTAACTATTATCTTGTATAGTATCTAATATAGTATGTTGGAATATAGGTTTTTTTTAAATAGGAATGTTCACAAGTTGTGCAGAAGCTATTAATCTTTTTGTAAAAACTCAGTGTTTTACACCCTTATAATGATATTATTAACCAAACTAGACTCCTTTTATGTAGGGATTGATTTATGTAACTTTTATAAAAAAATAAATTATTTTATGGATTGGGTGGCAGGTTTTAATGCCGTTGACATTTACCATGAGCTATTTTTGACATTGATTGTTATCCTGTATAGCATCCATAAAGTATGTTGGAATATACTCCATTCATTCCTATATAATTTGTTTTTAACTAAATCTTGTAAAAATAGTACGAAATTGTTATTTAATTGAAATTATACAAAATCACAACAATTTTTTAGTTTTGTCTTTAAAAATGTTGCAATTAATATCATGATATTAGTAGATAAAGCTCACAATTAATATATCCTCTATTTTTTAAAACAAGGATAAAATTATTTAATTACTCAAAAATATCATGAGCCCCTTATATTTAGGAATAAAATAAGCTTGTAGAAAGCAATTCAATAGGGATGAAGAGAGTAGGTTTTTGAAAAATAGGAATATTTATAAGTTGTGTAGAAATGATTAATCTACTTATAAAAAGTCAATATTTTACACCCTTATAGTGGTATTATTAAACAAACTAGACTTCAATTGTATAGGGATTGATGTGTGCATGAAGATTTTATGTATAAGGAAGCCAATTTCTCTGCTAAGGTTGTTCATAAACCCGATGACCTAATCAACCCAATCCAGCCTGATCAAACTCGGTCCAGTGTAATGCAAAAAAAAATCAATAGAAATTTGGCTAAGCAAATCGAGTCATACTATCGGGTTAGACAGGACATCAGACCAACCCTTCTGTCCATATAGTCTGGTCTGACCCAATACATTAATATTAAAAGAAAAAAAATCCTCTAGTACCTTTGCCTCAACACCTTATCCTCTTGTTTCGTATCCCTCCCTCCTCCCATCTTAATTCTAGCATCACTATTAAAGACTCAACAACTAGCATCAATCTCCTTCCTTTAGCCTTCTTAGCAAAGACTCGCTCCTTCCTTCTTCCTCTAAAGTGTCGATCTGCTTCCTCCTAGATCTACTTTGAATTTTTCTTTATATTTACCTCCAAACTTTTGCTTTGATTTTGTCTCCTCCTTAATTCTCTCTTTCCCTCATTTTCAAACATTTAAATGGATTTTTAAGAAAGAGGAACAGAAGAGGCTTGGCCCAAATACCCGAATAAAAAAATTATATTTTTTTAAAATATATATAATATAATAAATATTAATTAATTCTTTAAGTTTTAGATCATTTTATACTAAAATATCATATATTTGAGTCCTAGACATCATTTAAGTATTAAAAAAATATATTTTATATTTTTTGTAAAATAAAATAATTAATTTCAAAGTAAAAAAATAATTAAAAATAATTTTTAAAATTAAATTCGGGTATTCGGGCCGCCCGAAGCCCGAAGAAATTCGGGCCAAGCTTGGCTATTTGGGCTTTTCGAGGAGTCGGGTCTGTTCGGGTTTAGGCTTATTCGGGTCGGATCTATTTGGATCAAACTCAATAAATCCAGCCCGTCGAATTTCCGGCTCTAGCATGTCAGCTATCCTCCTCGGCCGTTCCATCAAAGGCAACAATAAAGACGCTTCCAATTGCAATAGGGTTTAACACCCCTCAAACCAAAACGACGCGAACGATATCTAGGGTTAGGCTCACCTCTTTCGTTCCGGAGAGCCCTTCTCTTTCTACCCCCGCCTCCGATTTCAAAAGCCATGGAATCACCCATTAACGACCCCGCCGTTGACGGAGAAACCAACGATGTGAGGTCCTTAGGCCACAGAGAAGAAGAGGAGGATAAGTCTCAGCCTCTTACTGGCGATGGGGCAAGTCCCGGGTAGGTCCTTATCTCACTCGTTTATTTATTTCTCCTTTTATATATACGTAGGTTTCTCGTTCTGTTTGGTTTCTAAGAAAGTTTGAAACTAGAATCTGAGGGCACTCAGCTTGTTAAAGTCTAGTTTCTTAAATATAGAGAACTATAGCGTTGCAGGAAAGAATAGTTATATATTTTTATTAAAGGCGGTACCTTTTTCTCGTCATACCCAGGTCTATCCTTGCTGTTGTGACTTTTCTGATAGTGTTCTGAATTTCTTAGATTTGATTCTAATTACACTCAAACCCCAATTGCAGAAAGATATTTATAGGTGGTTTAGCGAGAGAAACGACAATTGGTCAGTGCTATGTTTTATTGGGTGCCAATTCCTCTTCCTGTGGAAAGTAATATTTGTGTTTTAGTTTCTTATTCCTGGGCCTTGGGATTATGTTTGTCGTGCAGCTCAATTTGTCAAGCACTTTGGTAAATATGGTGAGATTACAGATTCCGTAATAATGAAAGACCGGAAGACTGGGCAACCACGTGGATTTGGTTTTATAACTTATGCAGATCCCTCTGTGGTTGATAAGGTCATCGAGGATACTCATGTTATCAACGGCAAACAAGTAAGAGCCGTGCTTAACAATTTGACTTTGGATGTGGTCTTTTTCTCGTGCCTCATACCGTTTTTATTGATCTTATGGGATCTGACAGGTGGAAATTAAGCGTACAATACCAAGAGGAGCTGTTGGCTCTAGGGATTTCAGGACAAAGAAAATTTTTGTGGGTGGAATTCCCTCGACTGTGACTGAAGGTAGGCTGTTTTTACACAGCTTGTTAGATTTATTTCTGCTGGACGAGGAAGCATAGACTTAGGCAGGACATGACATTGCTTACATGTATAAAATTATATCAGTAGGTTGGTATTGGTTTTAGTAATTGTGAAATGATCAATTAACTTATGCAAAGGCACTTAAAGTATGTGTCATATTTCACCAAGTGTCAAATATTTTAAGTTTACGAATTAAACTTTTAAAGCACCTTTTGTTGGCTGTCAGAATGGGGTTACTTGGCTTCTTTCTTGACATATGAGTAGTTCATATTTGCTGGAAAAGTAGTTTCCAGTTTTGCATAAAATAACGTTCACTAATTGGTATACTTGTATCTGCTTTTCCTTCTGATTGATTGAGCGGCAAAATGTCATATTTTTTGGCTCATTATTATGAATTGGATCAGTCTTTTAACATCATTTTGGTTATACATGGCTTGAATATGAAAAGACTTGATTTCATCAAATATTTCTTTTTCCCTTTCCCTTTTAATGAACTGTAGGTTTTGTAGAGTGTGGTCAACTTGAGTCCTTGGTCAAATGATAAAAAAATATTACAGCAGCAACTGTCTTACAGAAAGCTTTCTGTTGTTGAACTCAAGTAACATATTTAGACTAATTTTTATGAAACATGTTGGAATTAATTATTTATGGATCTATGTTTTATGAGCTTATATGGGTTATATAAAACTTAGGTTCAGCTTTGGAATCCTTGATAGCTTATTAATCACCCAATCTGATGTTAGTTTATCTAAACTTTTTAAAAATTACTGTTCACGTGTTATTTTCATGTTTTGGGTGTGTACAATTATAACATCATGCCTTTTAAGGAGTTCATCATCTTACTATTGTATCTTGCCATATGATTCCTGATCTGGAAAGTATGCCTTCTCATTTGTAACATCTCAATTGACAACTATGCTAGAAATTGGTTAATTTTTTTTTTAAAGAATAAGAGCTTATTTAAGCACTTAGTAGTTGTGACAACTTGCCACTTGGTCTGGTTAGCTGTGGTTTTTGAGTATAGAAGAGCCTATGCAATAACTACACTTTGTGCAGACGAGTTCAGGGACTTCTTTACACACTATGGAGAGGTCAAAGATCACCAAATAATGCGAGATCATTCCACCAACCGCTCTCGTGGCTTTGGGTTTATTACTTTCGACTCTGAGGAAGCTGTTGAAGATCTCCTGTCTAAGGGGAACAAAATAGAGTTTGCTGGGGCTCAGGTAAGGACGTTTAAAGAATTTGTTTTCTGTTGCATTAACTGGGCTGTGACCGTCTTGACTTCTACAATTTGCTTCTAAATATCTTCTGGCCGGTAACCTCAATGTCTTCTGCCATAACCTCATTTAAATATCTCACTGATTTTGTGAACTGATGCGCTTCAACCTCACTGGTAATTTTACTTTTTTGGACTGATACCTCACTTGTAAATTTTGAGATTTATGTGGACAAATGTCTGCACCCACAATTATGATAATTTATTTACTTGGAACTGTTCACCAGAGGAAAAGAAAAACCTTGTAGAGCAGTGTAACCCATGAGTCCACCAATTAGCTAGCCGCTGCTGATAAAGTTTTGTTAATAAATCAGCTGCTGTAGTGCAGGTCAGTGAGGGGATGAGGATTTAGGCATTTAGCATAATGTAAGCATACTGTAAAGTGTAAATTTTGGCTCCTACGATCACAAGAGTGGAAACAGTGAAAGAGTGACTACATGGTTATGTGAGCCCCCTTTATTTTTGTCCAAAAATTTGAGACTACTTTCATGTCCAAAGATTATTAATCATGAGTCACTTTCAGAAGCATTTGTTTGAAAATTGGACCCAGGGAACCACTGGTTTAAATTTCATTAGATCAGCCATAGTTGAACTGAGGTTAAACCCAATAGAGTATGCAGTACAGCTGATTCTTTTGCAGCCTCTGTTATAGTTGCAGTATTATTTTTGTTTAGTGTATTTTTCTTGTTTTCCATTGTTTTAAATTGGCAATTTGGCATCAACTTTAAGTAATATCTGTTGCTAGCGTATTGTTCCCTCAGCTAATCAACCCTGTGACTTGAACCTCAATTATAGTTTAGGTGTAAATGTTTGATCGGCAGTGGGTTGAGTCCAAGAAAACCTTCATGATTCGAAATTAATTTGAACATTTAATAGTCGTTTTGCTTGATGTGAAAATGAGAAAAAACTTATTCATTGAAAAATCAATGGGGGTATGCTAATATTGCATGTATCTTTCTTTTATAGGTGGAAATCAAAAAGGCTGAGCCAAAGAAACCAAACCCACCACCGGCCCCCTCCAAGCGCTATAGCGACTCAAGATCTTCATTTAGTGGTGGGTATGGGGATGCTTATGATGGATTTGGTGGCGGCGGCTTTGGTGTTGGGGGATATAGGGCAGGTGGTGTCTATGGTGGTAGGGGCGGTCCTTATGGTGGCTATGGTGGTGAATTTGGTGGGTATGGAGGATATGCTGGGGCCATGGGGCCTTACAGAGATCCCTCCCTTGGGTACTCTAGTCGATATGGGGGTGGGTTTAGCAGAGGTTACGATCTTGGAGGATATGGTGGACCTAGTGAGGGTTATGGGGGATACGGTGGTGTTGGTTCTTCAGGTGGTGCCTATGGAAGTGGCTATGATGCTAGCCTGGGGGGCGGATATGGTGGTGGCAGTGGCAGTGGCAGTAGCGTTGGAGGTTCCTTTTATGGGAGTAGAGGTGGATATGGTGGTGCAGGGTCTGGTCGATATCATCCTTACGGGAGATAGAAGGTTATGAAGCGAGGATTTGTAGTCTAGGACTAAATGTCATGTTTAGCAGGAAAGGAAGTTTGTATTTTGTTGTGTTTGGTTCTTTAATTTGTCAGGTTACATAATTTGATTAAAAAAATTCAGTTGTCCATGACACTTTCTTTGAACACCCATGATTAGCACGCTCTTCCTGGGCAAGCTTTACATGACCAAACAATCTCTTTCCCCCTTGGGTCCTCTTTTGAACCTGGTGGTTGTACTCAAATTTATTCATCATAATCATTTGTTGTATCAAATGTAACTACTGCCCTCGTCCATATTCGTTCGAGTGATTACTGCTACTCCTTGGGAACCCCACTTTTTTTTTTTTCCCAGACTGGAAATGTCCACTGAAACATCCTTGACTCGAAGCAGTGATAGCACCTTCATGCTCCCCTTGATGTTGTCATGTTCTCTGCGGTAATATATGCTGTTCGAGTTGATTGTTTTGCTTGGCAAGCACGAGGTTGCATAAGAGGTTGGGAAGCTATTCCGAGAGTATAGTCTTCCATAATGTAAAGAGTAAATGTAAATTAAACCGCTTTATAAAAGAGAGCGGAAAAATTGGCTTGCTTTTTCGAAATTTGTCGCGTTCCATCCTTCAATAATTATTTCTCAATCAATTTAACAATTCCATGGCTGCAAGAATATTATGTTAAACCATTACATTACAGGAAAAAAAAATTAAGAGCAGTTAAATTTATGGCTCTTTTTGAGGAAAAAAATTATCCATCCTCATGTTCTTACCATCTTCAGTTTATGACCAAAGTGTCACGGGCCTAGAGTTTTGCATAGCACACAACGCTCGTGCGACATCTCGAGGACCCTATGATTTTTGGAATTAGCCTTACCACATACGAATCTACTGGTTTCATCCTGCCATGGGCTCATCAAGGAGGCGGCACTACCCCTGATCAGTTGTGCGCTTAACTCGAAGACTAAGCCAGAACACACTCAAATGCTAATGTCGCCCTTTTTTTCATATTGTGCGAGGCTAATCAGTGGATCGTTTATTATATTGGTCTTTACACGGTCACGAAAATATTATTTGTGACATTCTTCCCCACCCAATCTAGCACGCCCTCGTGCTAGGGGAGAAAGACACTGCCCAAAGATCGCCCGTACAGTACTACCATACACACATCAGCTCACCGCTGAATAGCCACTTGAGTCCAGCACCCTTCGGACCCACTCGCACCCGCGAGCCATCAGGAGTGGAATCGACCACAGCCTACCTTCCCGCCCGAGTCCCCACTTTTGGACCCACCTGCACCTCCCAGGCCTTCTGGAGCGGTGCTAAGATTGACTAGTCCTGACACATGGGACTCTACGGGCACACGGCAGTAAAGTACGTCCGCTCTGATACCACTTTGTCATGGGCTTAGAGTCTGGCACAGCACATAGCGCCCGTGCGGCATCCTGAGGACCCCATGATCCTCGGAATCAGCTTACCGCATACGAATCCTACTAGTTTCGTCCTGCCATAGGCTCATTAAGGAGGCAGCACTAGCCTCTAACTAGTTGTGCACTTAGCCCGAAAACTAAGGTAGAACACACCCAAATACTAATGTCGCCCCCTTTTCCCATATTGTGCGAGGCTAACCAGCGGATCGTTTATTATATTGGTCTTTACACAATCACGAAAATATCATTCGTAACAAAAGGCACCGCAAATACGATTTTCCTGAGCGCTAAATCTCTCCAACACTTCCCCAAGGTATCCTTCAGTGTGGGCAGATGATAACGTGTTTTATTGTGTCTGTAGTTTTAGTTTTTGCCTTGGTATCCCTATTGTAGAATTAAAGTAGGAAGATCACGTCCAGCTCTTTTTTTAAAAGAATTAATTATAAATAAAGATTAATACAAATGAATATTTTAATAACAATATAGAATATATTGACCTTGATTTGTGATTAATTCTTTTGAGAAGGGCTGGATATAATTTTTTCATTGAAATATGACTTTTATTGTAAATATTTTATTTTTATTAATTAACTCTATTTGACTTCTTTATGAATGCAAATTTGCTTTCAGAGACTAACTAAAAAAAATGCTTTTGGTGCCAACTGTGAAGATTGAATCAGTTGGTAAAATGTTATTTATACTGTGTAAAAAAAGAAAACGTTATCTATACACGCGCCGTGAAGCCTGTCCGAATTTTGAAGACAATGCCTACATTTTTTTTTTTGCAAATTTTTTTTTTCTGGCTTTGCATTCACATCTTGAGAAATCGTTGCTACAATTACACGGAAACCACCTGAACCGGAGATTGGCGTCAGGCAGGTGTCGTCGACGCTGCAGAACCCACAAAAAAAAAACAGAGAGAGAAAATTGGAAGGACCGAAGAGTTGGGGTCTCAAGGATGGCAATGGCAACCTGGACCATCGGTCTCGGTCCTTACCAGAAGGTACCTATACCTGCATTTTTGTGGAGCTTTTGTCACCACAATTTGTCCTGCTTTTCCATTACAATTCCTTCTTCTGATCCTCCGATTATTCTTATTATTTTTGAATTTGCAGGCAAGGTCGTTTGAGGTTTCGTGCAGGAAGAGAGACAGAGAAAGAGAAAAGGATCAGAATCACCCATACAAAGTTATAGAGATTACTCCTCCACCCAAGAGTCTGGGAGTTCGTTGCTTTCCCCCTGTAAGGGCCCAACACTTCTATTTTCATTTTAATTGAATTCAAAACCTTTAATCTTGCATTGAAAGTAAAACCATTTGGAATCGCAGGGTATGAATAGTTTTGCTTAGACGTAAAGGGTAGTTTGGGAAAGTGCAGTTCAGAACTATAGTTTAAATGCAGTGAATTTTACGGTGGATAGTTTTGCCGTGCTAGGGTGATAGGACTATTTCAAAGGATAATAACAATAATAAAATTCTTGAGTATATCTATGCGCTATGAATCATTTTATTCCAGAAATTTACCGGTGTAAGGGTTGGTAAAAGACCTTCCCTTGACACCAAACAACAACAACTCAACACATTCTGGGTTTAAAATATCATTGATTCTTTAATTGATAGAGTACATAAACTGACATTTTGGCGTCATTAAGTCAGCACAACATTTTCAAGTAGATATAGCTTCTTGACGCCCTTGAAGAAATCAAGGATGGGTTCAACTGGTTGAGGGAGTTGAATCAACTTATCCTTTGGTCTTGAATTTAAGTCTTGGGATATGCAATCGCATTAAATAAACATGCTAAAGGTGCTTTTGGTAATAACAGTCTCACATAGCGGGAGTTTGGATTAGTTTGGGTGGAAGATAGTAATGCTTTCAGGTTTCCCAAGATACTGGGCGATGGAATTAAAAAAGAAGAAGAAGAAAAGAAACCTAGGGTGGACCCTGAAAGATCAGAGTATGTTTCCTGTGGCTTCTTTCTTTTTTGGGGCTTGGAGAGGTCATTAAAATGCTTTGATGTTGGAGACCGTGTCAGGTGTTTGTACCTTGATTGTGGATTGAAAAATTGAGCATCATTCTTGGGTGTTTCTAAATGAAAGAACTGGATGCATTTATGATTGCGATCTGAAGCTTATTTATGCTGATAGCATTACTCCCTGTGAGAGTTGAAGCATGGGCTGGTACCTGGTGACGATGAATGATCATATCCTTGATCTTTGTTCATCCAAGTTTTTTATTGGAGTATAATGGTATTGGCTAGCAATCTTGAGTACCCATATGAATGCCAACAGAAATGGTAATTTTTGTACCGATTTTTCTCTGATCTCACATCAGCTGCTGCGTGTTGATAAGCTCTCTTTGGCACAAAAGTAGAAGTCTCCCAATGCTTTTTGCTCCTTTGATACAAAAGAGTGGCTATCAAGGACTAGTGAAAGAGAATTGAAATGTCAAGCAGATAATCATTTGTTTCCATGTGAGTTCCCTGATTTTACTGACAATTCCAAATAAAATAAAGTCCCTACCTCAGAATTTTCTAAGGGGATTGTATACACCAGCACAAGAGGTAATAAAATTTGAGAAGTTAATGAGGAAACTGTATACAACAACAAAAGCATGCATGATGAAAATGAACAAGGTTGCAAACTAGATATAGTGGATTTGCATTTTTCTTTTTAGTGCATGTGAGCAGTTTTGATTTTTTTTTTTTTTATGATGTCATCATTAAGGTTTTGCTACTCACGCTCAATTCCCCTGGTTGCTGCAATCATGGAATCATATCTGAAGGTTTCTGCTCTTAGATGTGAAGGTTTAGATATGTGTGAGTTGCTAGTAGAAGCTAAACTGTGAGTTAGATTATTTGAATTGGAGTACAGATCAAATTTTTATGGAAACTTCTCATTGAAGAGTGAGAACCATGCAAAGATTGGTTCTTATGGTGAGCCCTTGGTCTACTTACCAAACTAGGATTGGCTATTAATCACAATAGGCTTGTTTGTGCTTTAAGACTTAAGAGATAGCCCTTCCTGTGAAAAGCACTTTAAAGGGAAAATTGTAGACTTTTGTGTCATAAGGTCTATACTCTCTCCCCAAAAGATTAACCCATTAGGGCGTGCAACACACCCTCTTATGTAGTCAGGACCCTCCCCAGGTCCCTTTGATGTGGGATCTAACAGCTTCCCAGCCAACCCGGAACGCCCCTATCATGGGTGACCCACCAGAAGGGCCTACTGACTGGGTAAACTCGGATTTGGCTTTGATATCACTTTGTCATGGGGTCATTACTCTCTCTTCAAAAGGTTAATCCATTAGAGCGGGCAACACACGCACTCATATAACCAAGACCTCCTCAAGTCCCTCTGAGACTTGACATTTGACTTGCTTTCCTGGAATGGAACTTTCCACATTGGAAAATTGAAGACGTGTGTTATAGATCAAGCAGATATCACGCTAATATGAAAACTTATGGCTGTGAGGTGTAGCCACTCCTAGGAGGCAGATTAGTGTATTATTGAAGACATTCCACATGTTGAAGCTCACAATAGCTAAAAGCTAAAAAGAGCACAGATTTTTTGTATACTTAATTTAATAATGTGAAGAATAAGGCTGTGATTGATTCATTTGGATCTTGCTTTCCAAATCTCTATGGCAAACGTAATAAGGGAATGGCAGATGGGACCATATGAGATTAGGACTTGCAGCAAGTTACTCCATTTAGTAGATGTGGATGTCAGTTGCCTTTAGGGTTCAGAAAACAGAAAAGTTAGTGGTAGATTCTTCTGCCACATTTTATTAAAATATAATTGATCACTTGTCATGCTGTCCACAATACTTTGCTAATTCAATTATGCAAACTGGTGTTCCAACGCTTGAGAATGGAAACAAAAACATGCTCACATTACAATACATAATATTTTTCTTTTTCTTTCTTTCTTTTTGCCTTTTTTCTTCCAAAGCAGAATTTGCAGTGCGGGGAGAGTGTAACAATAGAAGGGAATGCTTATACCATTTCAGCTGTGACACACCGGTATCAGCTTCGAAAGGGAAAATACGAGCCAAGTGAGAAGAGACTTGATGTTTTGTCCACTGGGAGATACATATTGAATTTATATTTAGAAAACTTGTTGGAACAATCATGATGAACACATTTAATTTAAGTACCTGTCTGATATCAAGATATATCGTTCTGATCCTGTGTTTTGTCTAGCGAATTAAAATCTTCATGCTGCTTGGTGAAATGAAAAAGCCTAGTTCTATATTGCTGTGTCCTGAACCTTGTTGGTTTTTATCTAGTTCATGGGACCGAATTTGTCAGTTTTTTTTTTTTTAAACCATTGCCTTGTAATATTGTACCCATTTGACTTAATCAACTTTGTATCATGGTAAGTTGGAAGTTCATATTTGGGTTTTTCATGGTGTGGTACTTTACAGCCCAAAGCCTGCACTTGAGGGGTACCTTTTGATTCGGAGAGGAGAAGTAACCCCCACGTGCAACACAGGCAAGAATGGCAGGGTCCTTTTTAACGTAGGACCTCAAGAATTGATATTGAGTATAATATCACAACAATTTCATGAGCAATGTGCAGCTGCGGTGCCTAGTCTTGTCGGGTAGGTCGCCAATAATTAAGTCAAGAGGTTAAATTCAATCCCTCTAGTGCAAAGTGCACAAACATATGGGACAGGTAAGGCTGCATTAGTGAGCTAGTTGTGACTGGCGTTATGTTCTTCTCTTTTAGGTTGATACTGTAAAGCATACAGCTTTATTCCCTGTTCTGAATCAAGTCCGATTCTCACGAACTGCTTACTTATAACCTGTAGAGCCTAAGTGTAGGAACAATGCTTTCGCATGATCCAAAAACACCTTTTTATCCCAGAATTTGGTATTGGTTGTTTGGTCATGATCCATGAAACAACAGTGGCAGGCCAGGCTAGCTAGTTGTTCTTTGAAGGGGGGAAAAAAAGCACTCTTTGCTTTGCTTTGTTTTGGTTTTTTGGAGCTCAAATAAGAAGTAAAAAGATTGGAGTTACAGGGATAGAGTATGCAGATGAATATAATGGAAGAGGATGGTAAGGGAAAGAGAAGGGGATGATGAAAATGGGAGTGCACACTGAAAATGATGGAGGAAACATGTTTAGATGATTGGTGACATTAAAGTGGTCCCCACAAGTTGCACGTTGTCTGAGGACCCACCTCACCACCCCCATCATTTCCTGTTAAGGACCCCCAATTCATTCATTCATTCATTTACATACGCAGTATGTCTCTCTATTTAGTTTGGAAAATAATTCAATTCAGTGTGAGTCTCTATATTAATTTAGTTCAAATACACACAGACCTTGCACGCAGAATTTCTTTGTTTCGTATCCAAGTTTCTCCTTACTTATACCAATGGAGGCAGTCAATTTTGGATAGGGAGAGAACTTGTATTGTAGCGTTAACTTTTGCTAGTAAAAGGACTGAACATGATGTGAATAGTGAGATTCACTTAGGCCCCCCTTTTGTCCTGACCGGGCCCCTTTTGGTTCAATCAATAAAAAATAATCCTTTTTCATAATGCATAAATTCATGTACGCAATATTTATACTGTACTTATTTTTTTTTATTATTCTTTTACTTAGAGAAATAAAGGACCTTACATTTATAAAATCACTTCTTCATTCTATTTTCTTTCCAGTTTCGTTGAACAAGACTATGCAAGTCAACCTTTGAGAAACTTGTGTGTGATATGGATTTATGTTTAGGAGAATCACTGGCAAAAATAAAAAACAATTGAGTATTAAAGAGGAAAATTGATGTGAATGAAGGTGTTCAATTATATTTAATGTTCATTTGAATTAAGACGAGGGAGGTGATAGATTTCCCTCCTTTTTCTCCTCCCAATGACAAGTAGTTTCTGAGAGACGTGAGTTGCAGCTAAACTGATAAACTAATTTGGATTGAATTGGATTAGATAATATGGTAAGTATTATTGGAGTAGATTTTATTTTTAGTTGTTTATATTGCTTAAGCAAAATTGGTAAGTAAGATAATATTGGTTGATATGGGAAGCCATGTAAGTGGTGACAATCATGGCGCCTACTCGACTAACGTAAAGCGTTCTCCCTCTCTCCTTCTTACCCCCACCCCCTTCTCTCTCTCCCTGGTCTGGACTGCAGGTGGTGGGTCCACGTGTCCCTCATCTATTTTTTTTTTTTTGGCCTTTGATGCGGGCGCTTTCTCAATCAATCCCCATCTTCCATCTCAGTTTGCTACTTAATATTTTTTTTTCACTGAAAATTTGAGAGTATTACTAATGTATTATTTATTTTTGATTACTTATGACTGAGGAACATATTGTTTTTTTTTTCATAGCTTTATTCACTCCGATTCTTTAATGCTTAAAGAAGTTTACTCCAAGTGTATTACACTTGCAAGTTTGACCACTTATATATAGATATATAAAGTAAAAATGCAAAGATGAGTCTTGCTAATAAGTTAAATTAAATTAATTTTAGGATCAACTTTACCAAGTAAAGTATACGAATTTTGCAAACTTGATGATGCATAGCATTTGGGGGGGGGGGGGGAATACGTTTGACCGCTTGACTTTGAAGATATTTCAATTGCTTTATAACATCTTCACTTGAGAGTATAAAATTACGAAGTACCTTTAAAATTATTAGTGATTGACCTTATTTCGTTTACAACTTTTTGGTTGTTATTAACGTTCAAAGTTCCCATTATTCAAAAAAAAAAAGTTCCCATTATTAGGAAATTTTCTTCTTTAATTTCATGACAAAATTATTCGAGTCTCAAGAATAATTTAAATTTTTTAAAATTTTCATTATATACATATACATTGTAATGTATTAATAGATTCGATTTTATACTTTGCAAATTAAAAAAATATACTTGTCCATCTTAATATTAGTTATACTAAAATAATGTTTAACATGTGGATTAAAATTAACATATAATTTACATAAATATTCACATATCATTAACATCGGTTTGTTTAAAATAAAACTATCATCCTTCAACTGCCTATTTTATTTCTGTATTTATCCAAAAATATCAAATTCACCAATGAGATTAGCTATAATTAAATTAATGTTTGAATTTAGAAATACACGATTGGGTGTAATAACAAGATACTTTGTACAGTGAAAAAACATATCAAAGTCAATAATACATGAATATTACTAATCAATATCAATATTTTGACAGAAAAAAATTCATATAAATTTACTGAGAATGAGCTTGGAAAAATGGTATGGGATTACAGGGAGAGCTCTCACAGAATGCGTGGAATAGAATGATGCGCAGGAAGTGACAGCCGGCCACGTGGTAGGAGTCAGGTTCACGTGCGCGCATGTGAGGGTTTCATATTCCCGCGATTTTTATAGTACTTAATACGCGCGGTTACTTAACGGACATGTGACTCCTTTCAATGACAATAGTTTTTGTTTCCGTGGATTTGACAAAATTGTCGCCTAATTCTCATATATTAATCATAATTTAAAATTTTATTTGTCTATTAATTTAAAATTACGGGGTGCAAGATTTTCGGTCTCTCTCTCTCTCTCTCTCTCTCTCACTGTCCCATCAAAGTACGAAACCAGCAAATCGTCCCTTTCATCCATTGTTCATCGGTGACGTGCCCTAAAGGACCGCCGGTGATGTTATCCGTACAATACCGTTCATGTGACTTGCAATGTTAAATTGTTATCTACTCTTTTTTGTACTTTTAGCCCTTTCCGAGTTTCAACAGTGCGATTATTAATTTTTATAGGCCAGAAGTTCAAATTTTGGAAATGAAAGTCAATTTGATTTAATTTGTTATTTTGCCAAATTATTACTGCTCATTTTATTTTCTTGTGATAATATAAAAGCGGAGAATGATTTGGACACGATAGGGTGGACAACAAAAAAACACGCAACTATTTCAGCCTTTTTCTTGCTCTCGCCGTGTTTCACCGTTTCTTTTTATTTCCCCTGGGTAAAATAAAATTAAAATTATTTTGTTGCATTCGCAGAGGAGTGATCATTTTCTTCATTATTTTATAATTTAAACTTTTATGAGGAAAACTATTTCATTTTTCTTCTTTCTATAACTCATACAGTTTTCTGAATTTTTTTTATTATAAAACGATGGTGTTGACGGATCAAATACTTTTCAATTATCCATTTATCAGCTCGTGGACTTTGCCCAGTTGGTCATTGCTTATTTTTAATCGCTTTGAATATTTTAAAAAGTAAATATTATTTATCCATGATATGCTGATATATAATTTCTTTTTATAGTCGCTGGGTTTTGCAGCTCTGTGATAAAAATTTTTGGATTGTTGTTCGCCTCAATGGTGATAGTTTTTTTTTTAAAAAAAAAAACACGGTTAATTGGTCGTATTTGAAAATGACACGGTAGAGATTAGAGAATGGTACGTATCGCTTTGACGACATCGCGGAGCTTTAAATAGTTTCAATCCTTTCAATTATTATTTTTTTGACCAAATCCTTTCAATTATTATTAGTACTATTAAAAAAAAACCGAATATGTCGTTGACTAATAAAATACATTGATAACACACTTAAATTGCATTGGCTAATCTCACTCGCTCTTTGGAGGCTCGGATCACAGCGTTTATATTCAACCGCAACTATTATTAGTGTAAGATTGTAAGCCTCTGACAGACATGACACACTCTTTATTTAAAAAAAAAAATCCAATTTTCGGCGAAAGCAAAAATATGTCCATACTCAGTGGACATGTCAGACGTGTTCTCGTTTAACTTGGTGGTCGAGAACAATAATGTGTATGAAATCTCCATGCTCATATGATTCCTATCCAACAAAACATTGTTATAGTAATAATAATAATAATAATTACTCAAAACAAGAGTATCCCACCATTATCAATCCTCGAACAAGATAAGATAATTCCAGAGAATAAGTTAACTAGCGTATTTCTTGTCTTGAGTATTTGAGACAATTAAAAGACTCAAAGTCTACAATTAAAGACAGACAGACAAAAAAATATTTTGTAAATTGGATACAACTCTTCATGCAGAGATCAAACGCTGATTTCTGTAATAAGTCCTGTCTGTAAGGTTTAATTAAATTCGATGTTTCGGAGGTGAACATGCAGTTTAAGTGTGTAATTAACAGTATATACTTTGAATAGGTTTGTCTCGCGAGAGGGGGGATGCATGGCCAGTGGTCCAGGATTAAAATACTTCGAATATATTTTCTCTTCGTCTCACTCAAATTATAAAAAAAAAAAATTCTTTTTTAAATTACTTGTGTGAATAAAGTTCATGGAACGTCGTCTATAATATTACTTTTTATATTTTAAGATATCAAATTATTTAAAAAATATTGAGTAAATATGTAAATTTATTTTAGAACT